CAGGGTCCTGCAGGAAAATAACCTGGATGCACTCCCCCGTGGTTAGACCAAGTTGTTGCTGGGGACGGAGGGCGCAGTTCCCGTCATCTGTGCCTGGTAGGCAGAGGCCAGTGGCGCTCTGCCCAGTAGCCAGCGGTTCAGCTGGTGGGCCATCAGGCTCCAGAACAAAGGGATAGGTAGGGCAGAGGCCAGCAGTGCTCGGCCCTGTTGTCAGCGTTTTTGCTGGGTTGGACTGGGGACAGTCCGGCTTTGCAACAATGGGGTAGATAGGGAAGGGGCCAGCAGTGCTCTTCCTTGTATCCAACATTACTGCTGGGGTGGCCTGTGTAACATCAGGCTCTGGATAAAGGGAAAGGGCAGAGGCCAACTTCTCTCTGCCCGGGTGCCTGCTCGTCTGCTGGGAAGGTGTCAGGGGAGGCCGTAGTTCCCTCCACTGCACCTAGAACATGATTCGGAAATTGGTCGCTGGGGAGAGGAATTAACTACCCTGTAGCGGATCGGCAATATTAAATCCCACGAATTCCGCTGGTACATACAGTAATCCACAGTCAGCGCTGAAAAGCAAGGCAATATCCCAAATCCCCCAGTAACCAGACGAAACACAGTTCTGGGAGTCAACTGAGATCTTTATTTGCAGCTCCAGTATTTATGCAAGTCCCCATGCAAGGGGTTTCCATACTGACTTAGCAGGGGTAACACAGTAGGGGACTACATGGGGGACTTCACATTCTGGGCATTTCTCCCATCAGACACTGCTGCACGAGAGGGATACTCCCACTGGAATATACCGTTAAGTGGGTTATCCCTCCGTGCAGCAGAACCGGCAATTTACTTTAAAATGTATAACTTCCTTAATACTTGGTCGATTTACACGAATGGACGTTCGGTAGATAGCTGGGGTCTGAGCACACAGTTCGTGAGAATACCGCTCGTGGCAAACTCACGTGGGAAGGGGAGTTTGTCACACAGTATACCCAATATTCCATGTATACCAGAATCCAGGAATAACTGGAATGTTTTATGAATATTGTCAGGAATAGATGGTCTTCCTTTCAGGAGTTCTTAGAGAAACCAATTCTATATGTTAGAAAAGTGAAGCGGAGCTTGCTGTGGACCCTACCAGGTATATAATGGATCAGTTACAAATACTGAAGGGTCCGTCAGCTATAAATACTATGCTTCTTTTATCTAGTAACGATAGATGTGAAGAGAGTACAGGAGATCCAATGTTTAACCTGCATATTTGATTTTATCTCATATTTTATTTTGTTACATCATGCCAAAAAAAGTTTTATTACACAAACTACAATATAGTTCAATGTTTATGCAGCACATCACATGGGACATCCATCATGCAGGACAACATACAATATGAAATATTTGCACTATAATCGGGTAAATCATCTTCATCTACACACAGATTGGGAGTCACACATTATCATGAGACAGTCTGTGATGGAATAGTCTCCGCGTTTGCTGTGAATCAGCCTGCGACAAATACTTGACTCACTGCTGAAAATATAAATGAGAATAGTGCCTACGGCCGTATGAACAATCGTATCGTCTTATGCCTAATGTCTGCGTAACATTTACATTTCAGTGTAGGGTCACAAGCTGTGTTTCAAGGTTTAACTGCATGTAAAATATATGTGTTTATAGTCAATAACACCAACATACTGACACTAACTACACCTAGCTTTGGGTGTGACTCTATTTTACTAAAGAGGGATTTAAATCCAACCTTTCCCTAATTTTACACGTGCTTTGTAGCAATGTCAATACCAAGACCCGGAGACAATTGTCTTCGTGATGTCTGCAGTTTATCTCAGGCGACCTAAGGGAATAGAATGTGTCACTGTGATGACAGGAACGACGTAACATCTCAGAATTCTATGAAATTGGGCGATAGAATGTCGGTGCTGATTGTGCCACTTTGTAAACATCGCCCCGTGCTCTGTATTTATAACCCCTATATCCTTCAGTGAAGCAGAACTCCAGCCTTACAGTCACATTGACAAAATTCATGCTTGACCTGAAAAGGCACAGTAGAATAAGGTGGAGAATGAGCCAAGCTTGCTTTATTCATTCATTTTTTTGTGCCAAATATGTTCCAAACTCCGGAAAGTGTTTTTGCAACAACAAAACTGAAAAAAACTCAAGTGTTATTTGCCTTTCACTTTTTCTGTCCATGTTACAGACAAACGTGTTGGATTTGTAAACTACAGATATTTGTCTGTAGACAATAGTATGTTAGATAGCATTCCTGTCTCTTCTATTCTGCTCCTCTCTCAGTTTTCATGGGTGTTGGTTTTGGGTGGAGATCGTATTAGGAACTGGGCCTGGCCAGAATATCGTTTTTCTGCAAGCTTATACCTGCCAATGGTGGGGGAAGGGGGTATAGTTGGTTATTTCCCCCACCCTGTTAGAAGCAGAAACAAGGTTGGACTTGAGTTACCCTTAAGGGAAAATAAGCAAGAAAAAAAACAACCAGAAGATGTACCTTCATACTGTCTTATAATACGCATATACCACGTCCCATAGAACCAATAACCCGCAGTCAGTGAATAACTAGACCCGAATATTTGAAGCATGGCACAGTATTTGGTATAAGGTTCACATTCATTACAAATCAGATCTGATTGTGCCTTTACTTAAAATCTGCAGCAAGAAAGGGACTCTCCAAGCCCCATAACATAATGCAGCGCACTGCAGGGGCTATGGTGCCAGTGTGAGTGTCCTGGTGTCCCCCCATTGAAAGCAGTCAAACCATTTCACCGGGGGTCTGTCAGATGCCTTTCCCTGCCTTTATTGCTAGAAGCTCTCGATCGGATCCATGTCTGGTGATGCAGCTCGCACTCTCAACCAATAAGCTATCGCTACAAAAGGCTCTCCATAGGAAGTAGTGGACGCAGGAAGCCCGGTTTAAGACGTTAAGCCATTCTAAAACGGTTGGGTGCCTTGACTCTCCTGGTACCATAGCCACTACACCATGCTTTAATATTTATGGTGCCAGGAGTGTTCCTTTAACTCAATCTAGCACCGTTTCAGAGTATCCATTAAAGGTTAAGCATTTAAAATACAGAGCATCAAACTGATGTAATTTTATTGGCACTGTAAGCATAAATGAATGACACAATTACTGACTTGTTTTAAAGAGTTACTCCAACCTTTACTCCGGTTTTCTTATTCTAAATGACTTAGTGGCACTTGGTGCCAATCCCCCCACCAGTCTTATCTATTACCAAACCCTTTAAATGGAGCATACAGAGATTCCCTGCACTGCCCAGGAAGGGAAGCATGACTGCTGCCCAAGAGAGGGGCTAAAACAAGACAATGTTGCAAAAATGAGGAAAGATAAAAGGGAGCCTGGGGGTAGGCACTTACCACTTAGAAGGAAGGAGTGTAATTGACAGGAGCTCTTTCCCGCCCGTGCCCACCCGCCCTGTGATATTGCAATGTTCCTTGTTGTCTCTGTTTTGTTTTTGTCACAGCGTGATACCTGGCCAGCGCATGTGAAGGCAAGTGCCAATTCGGATTGGGGAGTCTCAGCCTGCTTGGGCTGAAGGCGGACTCTGGGAACAGAAAGTGAAATCTGTCTGGTGGAAGAATCACCCCCATAAGCTGACAGTTGGAAGTTAATGCTGGTTCAAAAGTTCAATAAAGCTGTGGCCATTGCCCTCATCCGTGTATTTATTGGGCAACGGGAGGTTTACATGGGTCAGCAGTCCAGCTCATCTTCAATTTAGCTTCAGGCCCAGTTCTTATTTTTTTCTAGTTGCGTCAGATGCACCAATCAGAGAAGAGGAAAGAAGGAAGCAGTTTAGCCCAGCCAAACGGTGGAGAAGGGGGAAGAGGCAAAGCCTTGGAAATACTTACTGAATACCGGGGAGGGAGGGGAAAATTAGAATGGAGGCTTTCATTTGGACTATGTGCACACAAGCTGTGCGCGTTCACATCGCTGACTGCAAGTGAAGAAGATAATTACGTCCCTCACCAGCTTGCAGTGCGTGCTGACGGCAGATGCATTTATTACACTGAATTCGCATTAGGCGGTCGAGAACAGAGTTCCAGGCTGCCCAAGTTACGTGTCTCAGCGTGGCGAACTAGACCCTTTAACAAAAGTGAAGATATTTCTGTTAGTCAGTGTTTCAAGTTCAAACATATAGATTGCTTGCTTCATGGTCACTTCTAAATGAAGGTTCGAGAAACCTTGTAACAACACAGCTAGGGTTAGGAGGTGAATATTTACATATACACACACACATTATATATATATATATATATTAGAGTTAGGGTTCTTCCTAACGGAGTGTCTACATTTAATACGTTGCAAAAAGTTCAGTGGTACACCTGTGCTCAAGATCCTGTCATCTGTAAACGCCTCTTTTAAAGTAATGGGAGTGAAAGTCTACAATATCTACGTTAGGGGATACAAACTACATCAGTACTGCAGTGATGGGAGTTACGGTCTGCAATATCTACGTTAGGGGATACAGACTACGTCATTACTTCAGTGATGGGAGTTACAGTCTGCTACCTCTCCAGTATTAATAATTAAGTTCTATCTTCTAGGCTGCACCCCTGCTTTCTGTGATCCATATAAAGTGGGGTACGAGTTGGTCCTTCACATTGCAACAATGCATTACATTATGATATTAGTAATAATCAATGCAATGTTATAATATCACTAATAATATAATAAATACAGCGTTTATCATGTCAAAGTTTGTCTTAATAATAAACAAAATAAACATTTTGGATACTCAAAATATAATCCAGCAATGTCAGAGCCTGTCCTGATAATCTGCAATCATGAGATCAGTTGACATAGACCAGGGATTTCCAAATCGGCCCTGTCAGTGTCTTTTAGAGACAGGCCATGTCTATTTTACCTCTAACAGCACTGTAAAAGTGACAGTTCAGAGAATTCACTTTCAGACCGGTAGAAATTTGCTGCATACTACTTTCATATGTGCAAGAAGACTCTCAGACACCTGAGGGAACGAGACAAGATCTTACTGCCTCTACTATGGGGGAAACGAAAACTTTTCACAGTCAGCATTACCCACTCTCGAAACTTAGTCTTTGCTTTCACATTTTACGCATAATCACATAAAGGATTCTCAACGCCCTCTTGCTGGAAAATTCAAGGGTTAATGATGTGCAGGGCGGAGGTGCTCAAACAGGTCCAATGACGACACGGGATGATACAGTTTCCATTCTCTGTCTTTGCAACAATTTTGGTTGTTACCTCTGATACTTCTTACACTCCAGACACTCCAAGGAGGTATTAAAGATTATCATGATCCACCAAGGCTCGGTCTCACGGCTTCAGGTAGGCGCGGAAAAAATACTTTGCAAAAGTTGTTATGGTATTACCCGCAGGTATCTGGAAAAGAATGGGTTAAAAAAATGGTTACAATTAAATCAGCAGTGGAATGAAGTACAATGAGTGTTAGTGGTGCAGTGAATGTCTATATTGCATAAATCTATAATGTAGATAAGAAATGCAATACACAGTTACACGTGTTTCAGGTGGCATATAATAGCCCTGCAGCAAGTTAGCCAGGTGAGACGTGTTTCAGGCGACATATAATAGCTCTGCAGCATGTTAGCCAGGTGAGACGTGTTTCAGGTGGCATATAATAGCTCTGCAGCATGTTAGCCAGGTGAGACGTGTTTCAGGCGACATATAATAGCTCTGCAGCATGTTAGCCAGGTGAGACGTGTTTCAGGCGGCATATAATAGCTCTGCAGCATGTTAGCCAGGTGAGACGTGTTTCAGGCGGCATATAATAGCTCTGCAGCATGTTAGCCAGGTGAGACGTGTTTCAGGCGGCATATAATAGCTCTGCAGCATGTTAGCCAGGTGAGACGTGTTTCAGGTGGCATATAATAGCTCTGCAGCATGTTAGCCAGGTGAGACGTGTTTCGGGTGGCATATAATAGCTCTGCAGCATGTTAGCCAGGTGAGACGTGTTTCGGGTGGCATATAATAGCTCTGCAGCATGTTAGCCAGGTGAGACGTGTTTCAGGTGGCATATAATAGCTCTGCAGCATGTTAGCCAGGTGAGACGTGTTTCAGGTGGCATATAATAGCTCTGCAGCATGTTAGCCAGGTGAGACGTGTTTCAGGTGGCATATAATAGCTTTGTGCAGTGAGCAGAGTCTGTGGGTCTTTACTAGTCTAACAATGCTCAGTATAGGTAGAATGCAACAGGTGTAAATATGGTAATGGTGTAACAAGGAAAGAATACCTGAGAAAAAGTTTAAAGAGGAATAAATACATAAAGTAAATTTCTAATTTTAGATTCAAATAATGGAGCACACTATTTTCAAATTTGTCTTTGATTTTGTAATTCACTGTGAATTCCTAGTAACACACACATTATTGAATAAACACAGTTTCCGAGGGATAAGTACAGTATGTTGTGTTCACATTATCAAGCACGAACATGATTAAGTACTCTAAGGTGTGTGCACCAGCTCGGGTTTTATAAGGCATTCAACAGGGAGTTTCTCGTGTGCTGGGACACCAAGTAACAAAGAGTGAGAGTGAGTGAGTGAGTGTGAATGCTGTAACACACATACAACAGGCTGTTACTGGGTTTCGTTGCCTTGTATTTGGGTTTATGACAGTTTTGTAATGTGTTATCAGATGCATTAAGCGTATTTGTGGCTGCAGAAAACGTGACTTTTATTAGGAGGTGTGAATAAAAACTTGTAGTAAATCTGTTTAGCTGAGAAATGTTTTACAGATTTGTAGTAAGGTCACATGACGAGACTGTTCTGCAGTTTTACAGTAGAGTAGTTAAAATGCCGATTATTTGCCTGTACTTCACTCAATGAACATGGATGGCTTTTCATATAAATAGTGGAAATATCACTACTTGGTTTATTCACTGACGTGTGAGTTTGCAGGAATTCTAAGTAAATTCCAAATTCTGCTGAACACAAAATATACGAATTATACAAGAAACACACAAACCCAGAATGTAAAACCTACAGATCTCTTGTCTGCAGCCTTTACAAGCCCTCCCCTTCTAACCCTGCCCAGACCTTCTGTGGCTGTCCAATCACAGACTTCCCACTGCAGCTCAATGAGAAGTCTTTGCAAGGCAGGTGCTCTGGGCAATTGCTGCCTCTTGAGTTTATCTTCATTGAGCTAAACAAACCAGGAAGTAACACTGGAGTGACCCTTTAAAGGGTTACTCCAACCACCATGACCACTCCAGTGATTTCAAGTGGTCATGGTGGTAGGAGTCTGGATGTCTAGTGTTTCTGCCTGAATCGCTGCACATTCAGATATATTTACATTTGTGTTCTGGGGGCTAGTTACAACCTTGGCAAAAGTGACTTTGGCAACCCAGAACTTTGTTCTACCTAATGTCAATTCAGTGTATAATTTGTGTCTGTTGTCAGCACCCACTGCGTTAGAGATGCAATGCCTGCAAGGGGACGCTTACTCTCTCCTCTCTCCCACCTCACTCCATGACTTATCTCGCTTTTTGTGTTTATTTTTACTTTATTTTTTTTAATTGACGATCCCGTTTCCTCTCCCCTTCCCTTCGCAGACTCAGAACCTATGTATGCGCTCTGAGCTGGCGAAATGGTCCTATTACTAACTTCTCTATGAGAAACCTTTGATTGGACCATGCAAGGCCCTTGCTGACATCAGACAGACCAGGAAGATTGGCGCCAGAAGCTCCGCCCAGCAATGTTTTACAGATAGCGTTTATTTTACCTTTTAAAGGGGGGTAGCTACTGGCAATGCCCAACGGAACATTGTGACATTAAAAAAAAAAAAAAGGACATCTGACTAAAGGGTTAGAGTAAGCTATTGAAGCCTTGATGCTTGCTATACCCCTAACCTGGGATAGTGGTGACAATCTAACTAACATACATTTAGTATTAATCACTAAACAGAGGTTCCCAGCTCAGTCCTCAGAGCACAGTGGTCCAGGATTTAGAAATTCCTAATTTTATGCCAATAGCAATATTGAGCATTAGTAGTGAACTGAAACCAATTTGTAAAATTTGGGCAGAAATAGATGATGTTTTTGAAAACAATTCTCCCACAGCGTGGCTCTTGTAGTATAAACCCACTAGATTTCTATGGAAAGTGACTATCTCTTCATGTGGGGCTCCCATTGATGTAAAATAGAAAGTAATTAGCAGTAAATACAGAGAGTATCCCATTAATAATCCCAGCAATCACCTCCTAGAACATGAAATTAGCCACCTGGATCGAGATACAGCAATAAAATACAATTATCATTGTGTGGACTCCATACAGAAAATGTGATTAAGTAACAGTTTCTATTAAATCCACAGCATATCACTGACAGCCACTGCAATACATAAACTAACAGGGTTATTCACTGAAGGGAAGGGACAGTATTGGCATCATGAAGATGTTATGATGCCTTTTACTGCTAGGAGCCCCTTGAAGAAATCTTACCTTCAGGGATTAAACCGTTTTTGAACAGTTTTACACTGAAGTAGCCCCCAGCGCTGGTCTCAGCTCCTCCTCTGGCGGCATCAGGCTTCTGAAATTTCACTAACAGGACAGGGGCGGATCCAGAGCTCTGTGTAGCGGTTATGGAGCCAGGAGTGCCGGGACGCCCTCCTAGCGTAAGTAGTCAAGAACAGTTTGAACACTGACCTGGGGTCTGTTGGGATATGGGGCTGTAGTAGGGCATAGAAGCAATGGTGTGTTTGAGTGGTGCAATGTGTGAGGGGTGCAGTGTGTGAAAGTTTCGGTGTGTGTGTGCCAGTGGCGGATCCAGGGGGGGCAACGGGGCAATTACCCCCCCCCCCGAGAAAACAGACGGTCTCCCTCTCCCCTGCCAGCACATGCAGGCGCCAGCCCTGCAGTGTGCCTTCATGGACCGGAGAGGGAGATCAGAGATCTCCCTCCCCAGTCCGCAGGCACTGTGCTGGCAGCCAGCGGGGGGAGGACCCGGGAGCTCGGGCTAGAGTTCACCTCACCACCACTGGGACCACAAGGGAATCCCCCACGGACCACCAGGGATCAAGAAATGTCCCCCCTCCTCCTCAATTAAGGTAAGAAGGGAGGGGGGACATAATATATATTTATTTTAAATTAAATACATTTTTTTTTTAAAGTATATTCTAAAAAAACAGCCTTATCACACACACACCCACACACACACACACACACACACATTTCCCCAAACACACATACACTGCCCCCCACACACATACTGCCTAGACACACACACACCCCCATACACTGCCCCCCCACACACACACACTGCCCCCAGACACACATACATTGCCCCACATACATACACTGCCCCCCACACACACACATTGCCCTACACATACACTGTCCCCCCATACACACATACACTGCAACTGTCACACACATACTGACCCACACACTGCCCCCCTAACACACACACACTGCACCCCTGACATACACTGCCGCCCTCACAAACTGCAACTTTCACACACACACACCACTGCTCCTGTGCCCTATGACATCCCCATTTCCCAGCAGACCTCAGGTAAGTTGTCAAACTGTTCTTAAAAATGGTTTGACTACTTACTCTGGGAGGGGGTCCTGGCACTATTGGCACCATACCAACTACACTGAGCTGTAGTGGTTATTGTGTCTGGATTATTGAGAGAGAGAGAGAGAGAGAGAGAGAGAGAGAGAGAGAGAATGAATATGTATGTATGTCCGGGGTGCAGTGTGTGTGTGAGGGCGGCAGTGTATGTGTGGGGTAATGTGTGTCTGAAACAATGCCTGTATGGTGGGCAGTGTATGGGTTTGTGAGAAAATGTGTGTATGGGAGTGAGTGTGTGTGTTGGGCAATGTGTGTATGGGGGTGAGTGTATGTGTGTGTTGGGCAATATGTGTATGAGGGCAGTGTATGTGTGTGTGGGGGGCAATGTGTGTATGGGGGCAGTGTAAGTGTGTGTGGGGGGCAGTGTATATGTGTGTGGGGGCAATGTGTGTATGTGTGTGTGGGTAATGTGTGTATGGGGGCAGTGCAAGTGTGTATGGGGGGCGGTGTATGTGTGTGTGGGGCAATGAGTGTATGGGGGTAGTGTATGTGTAGCAGTGTGGGGCAATGTGTGTGTATGGGGAGCAGTGTGTGAATGTGTGGTGAGGAGGGTAGGGAGGCTTTTATATATATATATTTTATAATTTTTTTTATTTATTATTATTTAATAAAAATAAATACACTTTATGTCCCTTCTCCCTTCTTACCTTTACTGAGGGTGGAGGGGGGGCATTTCTCAATCCCTGGTGGTCGCAGTGGTGAGAGTGAACACTAGCCCGCAGCTCTCTCGCAAGATCTGGAGCATTGCCATGGTAACCGAAGCAATGCTCCGTGCTCGCGAGAGAAGGACACAGAGGAGATCCCGGGTCCTCTCTGATCTCCTCTCTGGTCCATGAAGGCACGTTGCAGGGTTGGCACTTGGATAGCCAGTTTAGGGAATGGCGAGTCACTGGCTGAGAATGTCAGCTGACCGCTCTCAGCCAATCAGCAGGGCACTCCGCACTTCCCGTAAGTGAAATTTCAGAAGCCGAATGCCAGCAGGGGAGGAGCTGAGACCAGCGCTGGAGGCAACTTCGGTGCTAAACTGTTCAAAACCGGTTAAACCCTTAAGGGAAGATTTATTCAGGGGGAATCCTAGTATTTTATTTTTACTTATTTCTGGCATTTATAAAGCACCAACATATTCTGCAGCGCTGTACAATTGGGAAAAAGACAAACACAATAACAACAGACCGAAACAGGTAGAGGAACCTGCCCGTAAGCTTACAACTTTTAGATGAAGTTGTGTTGGTGCCTGAAGTGTCCTCTTAAGAATTTCCCTCGTAATTCACTTTGAATTCTCATTTTAGTTAATAACCCAGTAAGTGCAAGGTTAGCAGATTCACCATAATTTCCTGGGCATATATTTCTACACCATGCTGTAGGACAGTAAACGAAAGAGCTGGCTGAGAGTGTTGCAGGAGCACTGCTTGAGAAATTTATAGGAATTGTATGCCTCCTGGAGTAGCCCCTTTCATTCTCTGCCCAACCATAGCTATAAATTATATCCGGTCCGAGGAACATAGTGAATAGGGACTCCTCATTGTTAAAGGGACACTCCAGGCGAGATCTGGCACATGGGGGGTTATTGAAAAGAACAATTCTATGGCAACATTCCATTGGTTTCCATGGTGACTGCTCCACTTGTGGAACATATCCACAGAATGACCCTTTATACACCCCGAGCATTCCAAATAGTGAGAGCATTGCCGATATATGAAAATCAATAAAGTGTTAAAAGATACTTACTCACACAGATCATTTCTACTAACATCTCTAGACTGTGCAACACTTGCTGTGTGTTTTCACCAAATCAAATAGCTGATGCTCACTATAGCAGTGCTTTACGGGTAAAGCAAAGGTTTCTGGGAGTTGTAGTTTAGAAGTCATGATGTTAAATGACCACGCTAAGCAGCAGTTTGTTGGTAAAAAGTAAAAACAACAGAAATCATGGACATCTGGCTCAAAACTCTAATTAGTATTTTCTTTTTTTAATAAGAATGAGTGACAATGTTGTTCACTGAAGAGGGTTATCCGCTAAACAGTGAATTGGAAATCAGATTTTGTCTAAAGTAGCCAAGCTGTGACTAGAGTCGAAGTGGAGGATTTTTCCAATACGGTTTTATATTCACTGGAAATCGTTGTTTAGTAAATACACCCTTAAAGTGGGAAATGTTAAAGCGAGTTTCAAATTTGAGGCCAAAATAGTTCAATTGAAAAAATGTTTTAACTCAACAAAAGCTATTTTGTTTTAAAGTTTGAAATTACCCTGAATTAATTTTGACAATTTCTGCTTTACTGAGTAACTCTGCTAAAAATGAATCAGTCAATAAATAAACACCCAGCAGAACTCACCGTTTTATTCTCAAACAGGGTTATTTATCAAAGTGAGGATCACAGAGAATTCAAAGAGCATTTCAAATTTAAGGCCAAAATAGCCAACCCAGAAAAAAATCTCAGTCAGCTGTGGTTCTACGGCTAATTCATTCATTAAAGGGACACTGCCCAAATACAAAATAAAAACCACTGTTTAGTGAAACAAAACTTGCATGCATTAATGTATGTATTTTTTCATTGAAGTTATATCTAAAAACAACTTGTAAAACCTGCAGCCTTTGCACGTCCTCCCCTTCTAAACCCACCCAGACTTTCTGTGTCTGTCCAATCACAGACTTCCCAATGCAGCTCAATGAGAAGTCTTTGCAAGGCAGGTGCTCTGGGCAATTGCTGCCTCTTGAGTTTATCTTCATTGAGCTAAACAAACCAGGAAGTGGCAAGACATTTCTAACTGAAAGCCAGAGGGGTGTAATCAGGTTAATTTATAGAAGTGTCAAGTTCTGCACTTTTACCAAAATGAAAAAAAGGACACACTCTTCACACATGAAGCTTTTTCAGCAAACTGCTTTAGGGGTCTGGAGTGTCCCTTTAAGGAATACAAATTGTAAACATTGTTTCTCATTGCAGGGTTAAAGGAACAGGGACACTGCACCCAGATCACTTCATTGAGAGGTGACTTTAGTGTCCCTTTAAATGTGAAATTCACTTTGTATTCCTGATAATCCTCACTTTAGTAGATACTCCTGAATTTTAGTGAATGGAAACGTTTAGGGCAGTTGGAAGTTCTCCAGCTTGTCTAATTTAACCTTCAGATTTCAGTTTGATACAGTTTAGCGCATAAACCTGTCATTGTAAAATAAACTGTGTAACAATTTGTATTCTTACTTCCAAGTGCAAAGAGCACACTTACTGCAGGAAAACATGTCTTGTGGTTTTTTAAAGTGTCCTAAACGGTGATCTGTAACGTAGTGAGATGGCTGTGCGCAGGCCCCTAGCTGTGTTAATACAGTGAGCGTCTCAGATAAAATAGCTAGACCCTTCACACAGTAACCCTAATGAGGGGAAGGGGGAGGAAGATTCCTCAGTGTCAGTCAGAGGGGGACGAAACATTCCTAAATGGGAGGAAAGGAAGACAGAGTGGGGTGTGAAAGAGGAAGACAAGCATTAGAGAGCAGAGATGTGTGTGAATGAATGGATACACAGCACAGGGACAGGTGTGAAAGGTTGGGAGACAGGAAGCAAGACTCAGGACTGCTGGTGTCTGCGATCCAACACTCAGACAGACAAATGAACTGAGCTGTTTGGGAACCATGAGTGACAGGAAAAGTAAAACACTAGATTAAAGGGGAAGGAACCGAGCGAGGAGGTGGGTCACAGGGAAAGGCAGGGACAGGTAGAGGACTGAGGTAATGGAAGGGTGGGGCATGGAAGCAGGGACAGGCTAAGCGTGGAAAGAGGAGTCAGTGACAGGCATTCAGGAGAAGCTTTTTACAAAGAGGCTGTGTGACAAAGTGTCAGGCCTAGGGCAAGACCTTTACAAAGAGCCAAGAGTTATTGTCAGAGGGACACAAGAGGCAGACAATCCCAGGGAACAGAGAGCAAAGTGCAACAAGGCCAGCAGCCTCCATGATATAGGAGGACGAGAGTGACAGTCCCTGAGTGAATAAGGATTTACACGGGCGGGTAGACGTGTGGGAGAGTGCGACTGCACACTTGTTGCCTGACCATGCAGGACTCTCACTTCCTTATGTCGGCCCTACAGCCGAAGACTGACATAACTTCACTGGCGCTGCCCACGGATTCGCAAATGGACCGGAAAATGCGGGACGAGAGCCTAGAGCTGCGCAATGCCCGTGTGCAGGAGCAGGTCCGAGCTCGGATGATGCAAAGGGGACAGAGCGTATCACAGACCAACTCCAGTATCTCCAACTACGGAGGTAAGGCCGTACCAATGTTTGCTAAATTAGTAAATGCTTTGTGTGTGCAAGCCTGCAGCAGCAGTAGCTCAGTCAACTAGTTGGTGATCTCGCTGAATCAGGGTTAACCAAACAGGAGACTCCAAGCTCTTCTCGAGCTGTAATGACAACAGCGGTCTATCCTATTCCCAAACCGAGTTAAATGACCTGGTTATTACATCCAATTCTCTGGGCACTAGGAAACCGAGCGCTTCAGTCAAATTCATATTCCTCTGGCATTGAAAGGGTTAAGATGAGGCCCTGCGTGTCAGTGTCAAGAGGGTTAACAACCCGCAGTGAGGTTATGACCAACGTGCAGTCTATTTGTACGTGGATAGAACTGTTCTGTCACATTGTGAGAGTATTTGGCTTATTAAAGTGTGAGTTGTTGGGAATTCAAAGTGATTTTCAATTTGTCCTAAAAAGTGACATACACTTTGAATTCCTGATCATTCAAACATTAGCCCTGTAGGGTTTCCATGAATACTATGTATCAAAGTACATAGGGCTTTCCAGCTGATTGTGACAGATTCACTATTGGAATGGCCATTTTAAAACGTAGCGCATCATCCGCACGCCGTCACAATGTAGAGCTCTTCGTGGCGCTCTATTTACAAATGTGATGTTTTTACAGACCGTTCATTTAGCCATCATCGTTCGTGTTGGATACAGAGTAGTTACCACTTTAATCCCTGTCAGAGTGCAGGACGGACCTGGGTATTGTGGTGTGTATCCCCCGGTGTGTCCCCGATGTGTCCTTGTGTACCTGTGGAAAGTTGAGTTGTGTAAAAATGTGCTTGGGTGGGTTTGTCCAAATCAAATGCCTTTGAATCAATACTTGAACAAAACAATCGGTCTGGGATTTACTGGTGGAGTCTTATTCAATGAATTCTAGCCATGAAATCACCTCACACTCAAAATGCCATGGAATACAACTCTCATCAATCTCATCCAGACTTTGCCTATACCTGATGGGAGTTAAATCTATAATCACACCATTAAAAATGACGCTGTACTGAATGTAACGCAACATAATAATATGCACTCTGTTAAAGCAGACATATCAGTGAGATACTGCTGTGTCAACGTTACCTATTAATTCAGGAATGCATTTAAAAATGTACACTTCAGGGCTAAGTTAGGTCTGAGGACTAAAGTACCCCAGAATTATGTCAATTGCAAAAGTCCTTAAACAAATGATGGGGTTACCTTAATCTTCAATTTCATAGATTTATATTGAGACTCCACTTTCCATTTCTCTACTCTCTCAACTGTCTCTCTGTATAAGGGATAGCCCCTATTTTGGCCCCAAATCTTATTTTCTAGAAGATCCATAATGTTAGTGTGTCTGAGTGTATAACAGAGCTCCACAGTAATAATACTCCCAGTAATGTGTCTGAGTGTATAACAGAGCTCCACAGTAACAATACTCCCAGTAATGTGTCTGCGTGTATAACAGCAATAATACTCCCAGTAATGTGTCTGAATGTATAACAGAGCTCCACAGCAATAATACTCCCAGTAATGTGTCTGAGTGTATAACAGAGCTCCACAGCGATAATACTCCCAGTAATGTGTCTGAGTGTATAACAGAGCACCACAGCAATAATACTCCCAGTAATGGGTCTGAATGTATAACAGAGCTCCACAGCAATAATACTCCCAGTAATGTGTCTGAGTGTATAACAGAGCTCCACAGCAATAATACTCCCAGTAATGTGTCTGAGTGTATAACAAAGCTCCACAGCAATAATACTCCCAGTAATGTGTCTGAGTGTATAACAGAGCTCCACAGCAATAATACTCCCAGTAATGTGTCTGAGTGTATAACAGAGCTGCACAGCGATAATACTCCCAGTAATGTGTCTTTAAACTACAATAAATGTGTTTAGAAATTAGTCTGTGTAAATAAGACGCATTGTATTTATTCTAAATTACATTTTAGTTGGTTAAATTATTAGAAAGTCAGAACAGCCACACGCTCACTGACACCCCTAAAATTAAAGTGTCCCTCTTTGTACACTTAATATTTTGGGATATTTTGGGATATACGGTATGTGTATTTTACACCATAATGTGCAGTATAGAAGCTTCCAAGCCTCTCTCCCAATAAAACCAGCCCAGGATTATTGGGTACATCACAGTATGTTAGTATTCTCCTCCTCCCGTAATGTTGGGTACCAAAAATAACAATGGGCAGCGTGTGGGGTTATTTATTAAGCCAACAAATCTGGGATGTTCTTAGATTTTCAGTCTGGTTTATTAAGGTCAGTTTCACATTAGGCTAATATAGGTCAATTGGAAAGTTAGGAAAGAATAGGTCAGCAATGTTTTAAATTTGGATATTTCAGCCTAAATGTTTAAATTCGCATTAAAGCCCACGACTCCTTTGGTAAACAAAGAGGGAAAAATTCTCAAATTTTCCCTAAAATGGGTAATTTTCTGGACAATTCCCAGTTTAGTAAATACTGTTTTTGGTGTCTAGTGACAGGCAGATGAGGCAGTCTGATCCTAGATTGTCTTTAATGACAGCCGCACGAAATTATAATGGCAAATCAAACAAAACCACGAGGCTTCCCAGTAAACAGGATGAGACGAGTTAACCATTCCGATCCTTTTATTTACATATAGATCTTCCACATGTAAGTTACAAACATTTCTCATTCACACACTTTTCTTTATGCAAGAGAATATATTGGATCCTCGGCTACGAGGCCTGTGTGTTTCCATGTATTTTTATTTATTTATTTTTAAGTAACAATTTAGAAAGTTGTATAAATTTCTAAGAACTGATTTCAGTATAGGAGCATCGTTGGGGTGTGTGTGTTCTGTTTGAGGGATTAGACCCCACAATACAATAAATAAACCTTTTCCTGAAAACAAATCGAATGTCTTCCTTTGGGTGGACAGCGAACGAAGTCTTCCTGCGTGTGTATGGAGTTCCTGTACTTTAGCAGTTAGCTTGCTTATTCGTGGTAGTTTTTTTAGGTTTCCCCTATTGGTTTTTTGATTCCCCTGTTCCAGTATAGGATTTGGTCAAATTGTATGGAAGCCCTTTTCATTGGCTGCCCATCAACATTAGCATATCGTGTCCAGGAATCCCCTTTGTGGTGTGCCCATTGTACAGCTCCGGGACAGATCCAGCACTCTGTCAGACATGGTGTTAAAGTTCATAGTCTAAAGTTCAGAATCTTCTGCACACAGTCATCGTAGGCACTTTTATGACTGGTGTCCCTGGATATGACTGTATATTACTAACAATAAAACCTAGCTGTATTGTACGAGTTGGCGTCAGCTAGTTTTTATAAAGTAAATATCCTGAGAGTTGGACTGATAAGGGTTAACAATAATGTAGTTCTGGCCTGCGGCAGCTGAATATTTGAACATGGCTATATTGTGGCGGCCCCGAAGTAGGGAGAGGTTTCCAACGTGTTACTTAACAGGCTCGGTCTTGTTGGCTATAAAACAGAGAGGTTCAATCTATGTGCACAGAGAGGCAGACATTGTGTAACCATGATGTGCTGGAGATCTCAATAGCGACGTGTGACTCCGGTATCCGGTCAGGGAGGAGTAGGTGCCCCACATAATAACAAACTTACTCAGTTTGTGTCACCTCTGTGTAATAAGGAGGCACATGGGGGTGGAAGGGCGGTGTTCCATATTTCGCCTAGGTGTGGAATTCAGGACGCTATATTCACGAATCCCTTCATAAGAATAAGTGGAGGGTATTTAACTGTTTGTCTACCAAATGTAACTAGGCAAAATACCAGAATGTATTCACTAGGCAGAGAACTGAGGAATATTCACTTATTAGAGTATTGAGGAATTTCAAATGTTAGAATGAATTGGGCAAAATAGCACAGTTAGAACATTTGTCCAATTCAGCTATTTTGGTTTAACCTTTCTAGTTCCCTTACCCGTTCAGTGAGTAACGCTGAGTGTTGGCCAGAGGCGATCTGAAATAACATAACATTTTAAATTCAATATTATTTTGAATGAACACTATGGATAGAAACAAATAGCAGAAAAGGGAATGGTATTAATTTGTAGTTATTTGTCTTGAATCAAATTATGAAATTGAATGTGCAAAAAAACCAAGTCATATTAACTTTAATGGTGCTTAGCCCTTCACTGAGCCCATTGTAAGCTGCAGGTGTTCTAAATGCCTTATTGCTCTGTAACCTCACTGACCCTGTAACTCCTTATTACAGTAACCCGGCTCCTGAGTGCCTTATTGCTCCGTCACTGACCCTGTAACTCCTTATTACAGTAACCCGGCTCCTGAGTGCCTTATTGCTCTGTCACTGACCCTGTAACACCTTATTACAGTAACCCAGCTCCTGAGTGCCTTATTGCTCTGTAACCTCACTGACCCTGTAACTCCTTATTACAGTAACCCAGCTCCTGAATGCCTTATTGCTCTATCACTGACCCTGTAACTCCTTATTACAGTAACCCGGCTCCTGAGTGCCTTATTGCTCTATCACTGACCATGTAACTCCTTATTACAGTAACCCGGCTCCTGAGTGCCTTATTGCTCTGTCACTGACCCTGTAACACCTTATTACAGTAACCCAGCTCCTGAGTGCCTTATTGCTCTGTAACCTCACTGACCCTGTAACTCCTTATTACAGTAACCCAGCTCCTGAGTGCCTTATTGTTCTGTCACTGACCCTGTAACTCCTTATTACAGTAACCCGGCTCCTGAGTTCCTTATTGTTCTATCACTGACCCTGTAACTCCTTATTACAGTAACCCGGCTCCTGAGTGCCTTATTGCTCTGTCACTGACCCTGTAACACCTTATTACAGTAACCCAGCTCCTGAGTGCCTTATTGCTCTGTCACTGACCCTGTAACTCCTTATTACAGTAACCCAGCTCCTGAGTGCCTTATTGCTCTATCACTGACCCTGTAACTCCTTATTACAGTAACCCAGCTCCTGAGTGCCTTATTGCTCTGTAACCTCACTGACCCTGTAACTCCTTATTACAGTAACCCGGCTCCTGAGTGCCTTAGGAGCTGACCCTGTAACTCCTTATTACAGTAACCCAGCTCCTGAGTGCCTTATTGTTCTATCACTGACCCTGTAACTCATTATTACAGTAACCCAGCTCCTGCCTTATTGAAAACTGAATTGACAAGGCCGAAATGTTGCACATTCAGTTCTCAATAAATCTGCCTCTTTGAAGAAACCTTGAGTGTCTGCACCTACTTTCTACTATTCTCTACTAAATCAGAACTGTCCCACCGTAATCAAGAGAGTGGGGAGGCCTGGAACACATCTGTGTCCTTGCATTAACATTCCAGAACATAAACTTTGATAAACTCTAACAGGAAGGAGATCTACCAATGTACACTGGTTGATATGACGTGTTATTCAGGAACATTGCGGGGTGAATCATACATCTTTGGGCACAAGCCGTACGTTTTGCAGAGATGACAAACTGAGTCTGAGCGGCCAATTCAGCCCCTAGGTCTTGTTGTAGGACAAAAAGCCTCAGGTGGTCTACATAGCTATTGTCTGAGTTAGCAATGAGTAAAAAAATAAAATAAAATAACTTGTCTCGAAAAATTAAAAAAACAAACACATAACTTGTAAATTTGGCAATGCAATAATACTCAACTTTAAAAAAAAGCACATGGCTTTAAAATCCTGCCTGTTACTGGTTTAATGTCTGGGTAATAAATGCTGCTTTCAAAATCGTTTTCTACACATGTGATAATAACGGGAGGAGTACCCAGGAGACTACTTACAATTCTTACTGCAGCTGAGCCTCCAGGTATGCACCAGTCAGCTCTCACCTGGAGGCTCACAACCTATTGCTAGCTGTGGGCCAAGTTAGAAAACACTCGCGTTTTATATCCATCTTGTAATAGCTGTACGTATTTGCATATATGTATGTACCGGTATGTATTATATATATTATTACACACGTATAATAAAGGTGGACTCCCCATCTGTCCAAGATCCCCAGATGTGTTTAAATATCTGGATTTGGGAACACCGTGTTTGTTAAATACACAGACAGACATACAAATTTCTGAATACCCTAAACACTGGTGGACTTGTATCAACTTTCTGAATGGTAATAGCTTGCTCGCTAATAAAACTAAGAATTGTGGGGAATTAAAAAGGTCAAAATATGCGAGCAATATATTTCAAATTAATTTAATTTTTTTCCCTTACAAAACTTGCTATTTTGTTGTCAATGCACCACAAAGCCGCATGGTATTGGCATATGGACAGACTGCCCAGTGTGTAACTGTTGAAGTCTGAAAGCTGGATTCTATCTCCAGAGCCACTGATTGGAATAACTCTCAGATTAACTTTATTGACTATCAATCAAAACTGATCCAAATGGTTTCTTGCTATTTGCAATGGATCTCAATACACCAGTGACATTTGTTTGGAAATGATTTGAGCAAAATTATTAATGGTAACTCGGCCCCATCTGACCTGCTTTTGGCTGGACAGTCCCTATTGTAGGCTTTTTTTTTAAACTTAACAAAGACACTGTGTCGAAACGTTGCTGAGCCCACTTTCATGGTGGAATAAATCTCTATTTGCAAACTATTGGGTGCTTTCTTTATTGTTAGGCGCTACTTTAGGGTCCTGTCATCCAGGAACCCCAGGGAACTGTCTTGGGGCAGCTCACATGAGTGCATCATTAGACTCTCTGGCAACGAGCAGCATGGACCCTGCAGGGACCACTTCAACAGCAATCTCTTCCTGTTTGGGGGTCGGACATCATACTGTCTGTCCGCCTGGCACACTCGATGCCAGGCTGATACCTTCTTCAGTGGATGTACTCGTCCACTTTATGGATGAATCCTGAAGGGTCCCGAATCTATACCTCCCTATAATGAGGGGTATGGTAAGTGCACAGCAGCAACATATTTCTTGCTTTAAGAAATAAATCCGTATGGGTGCAATTCCACTGGAATTTTATTAAAAGAATTAAGGATAGATCGTAATGGATCGGCTGACATGAGAATAGACATTTATTTATGAAACGTAAATAGAGATTAGGTTGACAACTGACTGCCACCCAAATGAAATGCTAATGGAACGGAAGTTGTCATATATTTACTGCTAACATATTGCACAGCACTTGGTCAGTTATTTGCACTTTATTTTATTTTTTGTTTAATTTTGTAAACAATGTTGACGGAGCCAAAAGGAGAAATGAGCCGTGCTTGGATGGGCCTACAACCTAACCAGAATTACCAGAATTAAATTTTATGCCAAACGGGTTTCACACCGCAAGCATTGTGTTTAAGCAGATTAATTGGACAACCAAATTCTCTCCATTCAGTGCCGCGTGTTGGGTGGGGTGTGTTACACATTCTGAGATCACCGTTACTAGTCATAGATTCACACCTAGGTTGATGATATGAGAAGGGGGGTGTGACGTTCTGCTGCTAGAAATACTATGCTTCAAACAATACTATGCTTTATTTGAACTACAACACCTCTACTAATTATGATGATTATTATACATTTAATTGCTGCTCCAGTGAAGACAACACCAGCAATGATTCCCTCCCCCATGCGGATTAAACGTTATGACTCTTTGGGGTTTGTTTACTAAACAGTGAATTATGATGACTTAAAAAACACGTTTCTAAATGTAGGCTATAATAACCAAGTTAGAAAATAAAACCAACTGCATTAATTTTAGCGTAGCTTTTCAGTTAGTTTTTCAATTCACTATTAAGCAAATAACCCCCTTTACCCTTGTTTGTATCATCTAGAACAGTTACCAGCTGACCGTATCAGGGTTCCCTATTCTACAAAGTTCTTTCCATATTTTAGAACAAACTTGCAGCCCCCCAGCTGTTAATTCAAACATTAATTATCTTCAGGCAGCATTTTTACTTCTTCTCTACATTCTTTCTAAAAGTCTACAAACAAATAATGAGCAAATCCATTTTTGTCCATGCTGGTAACCGTTAATAGGAAGGCTATTCCCAAATTATCTCCCCCCCTCTGTTCTCTATCCTCCTGCCCACTGGCAGCTCAGTTTCCCTCTGAAATCCTGATGCAGGATCACAGGAATGTTGATATCATCGAGGTCATCACGCATTTTATAATTCATCTCAAACAGAGTAACCCTGTTAGAATATTTGAGGAATATATATGTATATTGTATGACCACAACATAGCCAAAGGGGGACTGTAGCATAGCTCCCTGTACCCCAGTTGGGTACCTCCGCCAAGTACCGCTTCCTAGCTGGAACAGGGGAAAACCTCAGCGCTTCTGCCCCAGTCGCTGTGGCTTGACTGGGGTCTTCTGGAGCCTCTCCATCCTGGAATAGGATAGGGGACTAGCTTTATTCCCTCCCAGGGACTGGATGACACACAGTCCTGGGAGCTGTAGTCCATACAAGGACTTTCCCCACTGAATCCTCCACGAGCTGGAACAAGGTGCTGATCAGTGATTATAGCCCTTTCCTCTCCCAGTAACTAGACAACACATTTTAATGATTTTAGTGATTTTTAATGAGCCAAAACCAGCCTTTTATGCACGGAACCCAGCAGGGGAGGAGCTTGTGTTCAACACAAGCCCCTCCTAGGAATCTCTAGGCCTGGGTGATAATTGAGTTAAAGACGGGTAAGCAAATTATCTCCCAGGAACAGAGAGCCCAACACAAAATATAAAAACATAAAAGTTCCTCAAAACATAATAAAATCATAAAATAACCCCACATATTACACATCCCCAAATATCCCTGATCTGAGCGCCCAAGTTCTCCAAATAGCGCTCAAATTTAGGGGAAACGCCACCGGGCTAAAATTCTGACTGGCCGCACACGTGGTCCTATGACCAGAATAGTTCCAGGGCGTTTGGTGCTTTTGCCGGTTAACTTTCAGGAGCTCCTGCGTCCGAAATATGGGGTGTTAGGCCCGGCTCCCAGGGAACGTTTGTTCCCTTTAGTCTCGGGTACCTTCCCTCCAAAAAGCTGTCCTGACGGAGTGTTTCAAAACCGCGAACCAAGTTATCTGGGATCTGCACGGTCACCTCCTGCCGAAAACTGTTCCATAATATTTGTGGCTAAGTACCGCTGAGGTGACTGGGAACCCATGAAGTCCTCCTGCTGAAATTGGTTCCATATCGGTCGCGGCTTAGTATCGCTGAGGATCATTCGTGGGTTTGGTTCATGCGAATAGCTACCAGGGAGCTAGCGTTTGGTTTTGTTCGAATTAAGGGAACTTGCCGAACCAGCAGCACAGAGGGAAAGCTGCTAATGGTAGCTGGGCAGAGTAATTCCCGAACGGGGTCTCCGAACTGCATCATATTCGGTGGGCAGGAGGCCAGATTCCACAGTCCTCCAGGAGTCCGTGGAAAACGTTTGTGGGAAGGAGCGTTTGTCACAGGGACAAATTATTTAATTCTTGGAGAAACTGTTGAATGGGCAAAGCATTTTAAAGATTATCTGACTTGACTATTAGTCATTAATGTAACTAATTCAAATCAGAGTATTTTATTTGCAATCATTAATTGCCCATTAAATATAGTGCAGAGGAGCTCTGCGATACTCGCACAGATATGGTACATTACTGGGGAGGGTGTATTGTGGTGGAGCTCTGTGATACTCTCACAGATATATCCCATCACTTGCTGTGGAGGGTTTATTGCAATGGAGCTCTGTCATACACAGAAGAGATGGGCTGTCACTCGTTAAGTGACACTTTGAAGGTAATTTTTTCCTTCCTAGAATATAGTGTGTCATCACGTAAAGAAAAAAAGCAGAAATTGGCCGAGTTCCCTTTCCTGCCCTGGCTGTGTCTGGACATAAATAAAAACCTCTCCCAGCTGCGTGTTCGCTATAAGCCTCCAATCCCCAGGTGTACAGAGAGCGGGATTGGCAGGGATTTCTCAGCCAATCTTGTCATTGCTGTATTTAGTTAGAAGTGCTGTATATGGGCTTCAAATAGACTCACTTAGCTCTTGTAAGTATTTAAACATTAAAATAAAATATTCGTCATGCAGGCTCGGTGTGTTTGGAGTTTCATTTTAGTTTTTCTTTTTCTTTTTTCCTGTTATTATTATTTATTGTTATTTTATTATTTATATAGCGCCATCAGATTCCATAGCGCTGTACAATGGGTTGAATGATAATGCTCACAGCCTATGTTTGCCAGCAGTTGATTTAGGAATATCTGCTTCTGATCTGTAAAGTTCTGAGTGTTCGTTTTTATTAATTGGCCCAAACCAGGTAGATTCCCAGATATTGTAGAACTACAACTCCCATGATGCTTTACAAGCCTTTAGAATGGGAAAGTATCATGGAATCTGTAGTTTTAAATACGTTTTTGGTTCCCCTGCAATAATGTAATCCTGATTCACAACGTTGCTTAGAGGGACACTCCTACCTTTCTATGAATGCACCTATTCAGGTTTGGAGCGATATTATATCAGAGATTAAAGGCCAGGTATTGTGGCTATTCTGCAAATGATTAAATTATGGCAGATATTAAATTAAATAAGATAAAGAGCTCTGTACCATACATTGTGGATAGCCATGTTCTTAGAATGCTGCCCATATAATTTTGTATTTTTTTTTTTACCTTTTTATAATTGATATAATTTCCTTCTATCCCTCGTTTCCTCTCCCCTCCACCCCCCAAACCCCCCTCCCCCCCCCCTCTTTACAAATCACTGGGTTCTTATCGCTGAGCTCAGTGTTTAAGTTTGATCTCTGCGGAAACTCCCACATGAATAGAATCACACAGCTGTGTGTGGGTGTGTTTGGGTGTGTATCACTATGTCTCTATGATATGTGAGTAAAAACCATGCAATGAATATGTGCATTTCTAACATTCGTAACAGGTAGCTTTATACACAGTGCCAGCAATTTGATCAATTCTCAGCTCTGCATTGGATGTTCCATTGTTTCCTCCAATAATCATCAATAGACGCATGAGCCAGTTGATGAATTAGGAAAAGGTGTAGAACTGTTTTGATTGACAGATAGTGAACAGATCCGTTGATATATTTTTGTAAATCTCTAGAATGCTGCATACATATCATTTAGTGTGTCTGTATGTCTGTCTGTCTCCCAACAAGGCGAGAGGCGTCTGTTCTGGGATTTAAAAAGAAAAACACAATAGGCTTTTATGGTCTTTGTCTTTTCAGTCATTAACCATGAAACTACAACGAGAGGTCACCATATGGAGCCACACTGGTAGTTTGTCGCAGGAGCCTACATTTTTGTTTTCCTTCTTTTTTTTCAGATTTAAAGTAATCGCCGCTATCTTGTCTCTCTTCCCATTATCTCTCTTAGAGCACAAGCTCTCTAGTTCTGTACTATGCATGTCGGACATTAGGCTCACACAAATAAAGTGCTGGAACTGGAGTTAGAAGCAAATCTACAACATTCCAAAACTCCGCAAACTCCAGCCCTCCAGATGTTGCTGAATGATTCTCAGCCTATTTCTTTCATAGAATCATGGGAGTTGTAGTTCAGCAACATCCGGAGGGCCGGAGTTTGGGGAAGCCTGCTCTAATCTGTGTGTCTGGCCAATGCGTTCAAAGACTTGAAGCAACTGGCAATGAAAACGACAATATCTTGCTATCCTGCTTAATAACTGAAGGAACCTCTCAAAAGACCCTTTTATACTCCGGCCGGTGTTTGAACATTGAATCTGATTCACAAACCGTTACTTGGAAACTGCATGTGCAACAACAAAGACAACGATGCAGCCACTCGGCCACAATCCCAACGTCGTTCTATCTGGGCTAAATTTTCCAACTTCTTATTTATTAAACGTGCCACAAGTCACTATTTAGTGAATAGATCTGAAAACGAAGCAAAACGTATTCAAGTAACTATAAACTATTCTATATTTCTGAGTGTTCACAGACGGTAGGTAATTATGAAAAACCGTTTTAATGCAGCTGCCCTTCACCCCGTAGACCCTTATTTTTAATGAATTTTTTCACATTTTGAGAGACTCTATACCAATTTTTACCCATTCTAGCCATTGTGTGTATCCTAAATATACAGCACCACTGATGTATCAGCTTTTTTTCCTTTACTTCCAATCACATTTTTTATTAAACAAGATTAGTATTCCAGTAAATAACATTTCATCAAAATAACATGTTCCAATATTTTAAAGGCTGCAATAAGTCGAGCAGTATGTATCGGCTTTTAACCCATTGGCTGTAAATACGATATCCAGCGCTATGGTCGATGTATCCTTTTTTTATCCTGTAAAATAGGTTAAACTAGTGTTTCTAGTGTTTGGTGTAAAAAAAAAAAATTGGAAACTCTCCAAAAGTTGTATAGAGGTCAAACATCGCCTCCCCACCCCCCAAAACTCCATGGAGTGTATCCACGTGGAGACCCAGGAATGTAATCATTCTGTCCTCCCCGGGAATGCCGTTAGATCACCCAGTGTTATGAGCACACAATAGGAAAAGTGTTTGACCAGTCAGACAGGTTCAAATAATTACACAATCACAACTATGCCGATGCTTTTAAAAATAAAACAAAAAGCCGCACCTGTTTGTAATTAGTGGTCAATCCGTGAATTGTGATTGGTTAAAGAAAATGACCTATATTTGTAAAAACAATAGTTTTATGATCACTGAACACTACAAATTATATGTAATATGGTACCACTGGGCATTATTTTGTAACAAATGCATTTATATAATCTCTTAATAATGAATTAGCCATCCTTTCAACCAAAGTGTACTTAAAGGGACACTATAGCTCTAGGAATACAAACGTGTATGGCCAACGCCATGGATTTACTCTCCATTTCTCCGCTGCTCTGCTCCTATCAACTAATAGAAAAAGCCGAGTTTTACTATATCATGTAAACTCTGCAATACATTCACTGTCATTCTGGCAGATCCCCAATGTTTCGCGTGGTAGGGTTACACAGACAGGGACATGGCACCCAGGACACTTGATTGAGCTGAACTCTGGGTGCCTCTAGTATCCCTTTAACCCCTTAAGGACACATGACATGTGTGACATGTCATGATTCCCTTTTATTCCAGAAGTTTGGTCCTTAAGGGGTTAAGATGGGTGCTCTCATAGAGCAAAGGTAATCTAGGAGATACAATGGAACTGGCTTTAAAGAAACACTCCCTCACGATAACTTCTCAATGAAGTGGTTTAAGTGGCAGGAATGTATGGCCAGTTTTAGAAGGTGTCTCCCACGCTCCTGTCCCCACTGCCGCCTCCCTATGTTCTTCTTTGGATGCTGTGTGCGGTACATGAAGGCCGATGTTAGCTGAGACTTTCTATCCCTTTCCCCAAGTTTGTATTTACCAGGGAAGATTCCTTGTGGATGCATCTAATGTGATAAGTACAATAACATATTGAAATCCCTGTGAATACTCCTTGGCTGATGTGTGCTGGCACAAATAGCTACATTTTACATACAGGCTGTTACACGTGGATATTTTTACACACATTGTTTTATGGATACATCTGTATGTGTAAAGATTTTAATTCAAACTGTGGGACGAAGGCACCAGAATGCAGACGGTCTATTTATTGATTTACCATTGACTTTTATTATTGCATTTAAGGTTTTGTTACATAGCACTGCTTGCTCCTGGTTAACCAGGGCTGTTGGCTGTGGTGTCCTTTTTATTGATGACGTCCTCTGCCTATTACTGTAAGTCCATTGCAATTAAGCGCATGTACTATAATGTGCAATGGGTGATCAGCGATAGACTGAGAGCGAGAGCTGACATTCTCCGCCAACACCGGCCTCCATGAAACTTCATGTAGAGCACAGTGGCAGAGGGACGGGACTCCGTTGTTGCCATTCTGTGGAGAACGTTAAGGTTAAACCATTCAAAAACGTTTAAAATCTTGAAAGTAAAATTCCATCCGCTGACTCAAACGCCCAGGAGTTTTCTTTAATTGTCTCCTAATTAATATTTATGTATTAGAAAATAATTGATACAGGCTATAATACATTTAGTTTTTTTACTTGAAATAATAAATGAAGTCTAAAAAGTCCGTCCCAATAAGTCACAATGCAGTTATGTTCTCTGTCTTAAAACTACTGACCATTATTAGCAGAATGATGTAAAAATTCTTTTAACCCCTTAAGGACCAAACTTCTGGAATAAAAGGGAATCATGTCATGTGTCCTTAAGGGGTTAAAGCACATTTGAAAATCTAATTTCATGAATACTGGGCCTGGATGAAAAAATGCCACCGTAATTGTTTTATTCTGTTATTCTTGTATGGTCACTTTGTAACGCATTATGTTGGGTAGTTTAAAGTCCGGCAGGTCACAGAGCTGGCAGTTTGGGGGTCTCTTGCTGATTCCCCAGTACCAGCTCTGAATAACTTGCTCTGGGAATGTGAAAGCGTTTTATTATTCCATAACAGTCCCAGCAATAAAGTGACCGATCCCATCAAGGCTCAGTGACTGTTGCCTGGTGCAGGAATGGCTCCTGAAAGGCCAGCCTTGTGATTTGTCGTGTCTGTTTATTGCAGTGATGGTTCTATACAGGGACGCTCCCTCCTTATTGTAAAGCTATTTCCCAGTAAATTATGTCACAATTGTCAAACTCCGTGTACAGATTTGCAAGGCTGGCTCTTTGTTCCCCTGTGGACCAGATATCATTTTGTTCACTTGTGTGATCAACGTTTGGGGTGGTTTAAGTGTATTATTGAGGATAAGGTGCTATTTTGGGTGCAAACTGCCAACTGTTGAGGCATTCTTTTGGTTTCCATGGTGATATCTCCTTGTTTGCTCCAGTTTAGAACCAATGTTGTTTTAAGAATTCTTCCTCACGGTTTCTACTTTAAATCCTGCTTTTGGGTTCCTCACAGAATGGAAGTTAAAGCTTAGTTTTGGATGTTATCAGAGCAAGCTTGGCCGTGTCTACTGTAATTATACATGAATTAAAATGGCTGTTTGGGTAGGAGTGCTGTAGTGGAGGCCCTGCCTGACATGCTGTCAGTTCAGGTTGACAGAACATACATTTCTTGATTCAAATGCCTGTGGGTACAGTATGGTATATGGCAACGTCTCGTGGTATGTTAGGGTGTGTGCTTGTATTTCTTTATATTGGATACTCCGACATGTTCCACTCCAGTGCAGAATGATTTTTACCCCTAAGCCGCCAAGAATTAATGATTTACTTTTAAAACTTGAATTTGGAAATAGTCTGCCGGAAACCAAACATGACTGTGCAGCCAAAAGACATGGCTTTAAAAATACTATGTTTATAAAGATAAGAATTATAGGAGGTAAAATCCACAGCACAGTTAGAACAGGATCCCCTCTAATAGTACATTTCGCTAACCCTAAGGCAATTCTACCTGTAACTCGCCAACCCGGATTCTTTTACTATTGAACATTGAACCTTTTTTTATTATTCTGACCGATTTAATAACATTGCAGTATAGTTACTGCATCGTGTATTGGATCACCTGGCACCCCGACTGGGTACCTCCGTTACTGGATGCTCCTAGCGCTTACAGAGGGCTCCAAGCGCTCCGCCAGACACCACAACCACCGTAGACCCCACGAACCGCTGCAGCTTGGTTGGGGTCTCGCCGTTTCCTACCCACCCTGGACCTACAACAAGGCTCCAGATTCCAGTGGGTGAACCTCTCCTCCAAGAGAGTGAAGCAGGAACAAGCTCTTAAAAGAGCTTAGTAGTGATTAGCTAAGGGAGTATGCATAGCAATCCCTTGTGATATAGCAATTCCCCCAATAAGAGACAGGACTCTAGATTGAGGGTGAAGAAGAACTGTATTACTTGGCACCAAAGGGCCTTCTTTAATGCAGGTTTAACACATACAGGACCACCCACAGGGTTTTACAAAACAATCAGTAAACACGTAGTATACAGTACAAACACTCCCATAAATCTCCTCCCCTTAGCCTGAGTGGTAACACAATTAGCCGTACAGTTTAAAACATACTTTTTACCCAACTTTCATAACTCTAATAATATGTGACTTATTAATATTGAATGTATAGTTTTAATCAGCATATTTCAAATACAAACATACCCAAAAATCATTCGAATCCGTTCAGCCGTTCGGGAGATAGATACAAGTCACTTTTGACCGACCGCAAGCACATTTTCCTGCCCTAAACAGTTCCATAGATTTGGGCTGATTTAAAGTTGCAACACTGCTCCAAAGTAATTAAAGGGCCAGAAACCGCATTATAAAAACCCATTATGCCCCAACTCAGTTCCTTAAAGGGCAATACATCATAGTCACATGGCAGGAGGCTGGCAAATAGGCCTCTCCAAAAACCAGTGGCGAGGTCACTTTCGCCACACATCGTTCTATTTATTGGCAATATTTACATCATCACTTTTTATAGAGAACTTATATTGGGGAAAAATGACTTTCCTTAAATAGCTTCCAGATACATTGAATATAACACCATATATAATACAGATACATTGAATGGAACACCATATATAACACAGATACATTGAATGGAACGCCATATATAACACAGATACATTGAATGGAACACCATATATAATACAGATACATTGAACACCATATATAATACAGATACATTGAACGGAACGCCATATATATATAATACAGATACATTGAACGGAACGCCATATATATAATACAGATACATTGAACGCCATATATAATACAGATACATTGAACGGAACGCCATATATATAATACAGATACATTGAACGGAACGCCATATATATAATACAGATACATTGAATGGAACGCCATTTTAAATAGTTTTTTTTCCTAATCTATAAATTGCTTTCACAATTGATATAATCACATGTCCAATCTAATACATTGTTTGGGGCATGACAGGTGCTTTTAAACCCTCAAAGAGGGAAGCAATTGTCCAACTACTGAACCAAAAAAAACCCTATAATTTGTGATTGTTCCACCATAATTTTAAGGTTTTCTATTTAACTAGACCCATACCATACATAATATATATTGGTTTTTTTTAAAGGACAGAAATGGCTTTCTTTTAATATCCTATACGCATATCTTAACAGCCAGGCCTTCAAAGTTATTCACCACCGCCAACCTAAGAGTCCATGGTGCAGTCAGGATTGAATTTCTACTCACCAGGGCTACATTTTTACTTGCCAATGGCTAGCTGTAAATGGATATTTTGAGCCCTGCAGCTCGCAGTTTGTCCCTGCCAGTCACACAGGGCTGCACAGCGCATGCAAGGAGAGGGGGGCCACCACAAATAAAATGGTCCTCGAAGTGGGAGTTCTTTCTTTCCTGTCTGAATGGTGGATTTGTGTTTGCAAAAGCATTCGCTCGTCTTATTTGTGGTTTCTCCAATATTAATAAGTCCACATTAACATTTTACCATATAAATATCACAGAGGTAGCCTCTTAATTGCATTGTCCACCGTGTCACCCTCCAAATTTGTTCTCTTGGATTGTGCTTGTGGAATTTGCGGGTGCTCCTTATTCAGTGGAGCACTAGGAAGCGAAACGCGGATGCTGAGGCTGCTGGGCCATTCAAAACCATTTTCTGAGTGCACCCTCGATTGTGATGTTTTGTGTCTGACTTTTAGTCAACCTGTGCAGATTGTTCCATGCTGGAAGGTGGGCAGGTGTGGTGGTATTGGGCTAATGAGCAGGCGCCTGTCCTATTGGTGAATATCTATTCCATGCTGGTCACTCAGTATAAATCTATAATGCCCACCTTAATATACAGCAGTTTTACCGGATGGATTTTGGACTGGTTGCTATGCATATTGTCAGAGAAGGATTACCATAAAATGATCTTCAGTGGATGCCTAGGGTCCAGGGGTTAGGGCTCCCAGAACCATGAATTTGCATGGGCCCTATTCACCATGCCTATGTGAAGAATGAGGGGGTATGGAGTGGGCAAAATGTTTACCTACCAGGTCCCTATGGGATCTTTATCCTCCTCTGCATATTGGTCCCTGCCAACAATTACTAAATCTTGTGTTAAACCAATGTGTTAAACCAATCCACGGAGATCTTCTTTACCACCGGTGATCATGCGACTTTAATAGCACGGTTAGATGGGAGCTCTAAAGTATCAGCATTTGATCAGGAACTGTACACTCTATGTACTCCTATTGCTCCAATTGATTTTTGAATGGGAGACTTTCATGACTTTTTCCTGTAAAGTTTGAGGAACTGGCTTTCATTCATGCTGTAGCTTTAAAAAGTGTCTGTCGTGAAAATGCACAGAAAGCCCAAAGAGGCCGGATTATGCTTTAAATATGTCGAGAAAGCAGCTTGTTTTCTCACTGAAACAAATCAGAAAAATAGTAAAAATCCGCAGCTTCTCTGGGCCTCTGTACACAACAAATGTAAAACAGTTTGCTAACCAGATTCTTTACAAATATGAGTGACGTTATTTCACTGACCTTTTTCTGATGCCCACAAGCTAACAGCGTAGCAGTAAAGACTGTAAATGTGTGAAACCGGTTTCAAAGTTACAGTTCAGCATGTCCTATTCTGAACACCTATATGTTGTCCCTTTTAAATGTTTTTTATTTTTTTTAATTTTATTTACATTTATTAAAATAAAGAGTATATGTGCTTACAGCCTTATCTTGCAATGGGGAGGTGTAGATTTTATTACTGCATGTTAAACATTATTGAGTGTTGCTGAAGCCAAGTGGAATTGGTTCTGAGCTCTTTAGAAAGGGAAAGCGTACTTCTTGTGAACACGGGAAACTCTGTGATTTGAAGCTCAGACCTATTAACCCTGAAAGGGACTCTCCAGGGTGAACGTCTCGTATAGTTATTTAATTCCTTTGATGCCTTATCATACTTGTATAGCTGCCCAGGTCTTGTCTTCTTTTAATGCAGGCAGCTTGACTTCCAGCCGGTCAGCTCACCCAATTGTGTTTTTTGGCAGAGCTGTGTCAGTACATTAAGACATTTTTTTTAATAGTTAGGCATTGTAAAGGAAGCCCGAATTGGGAGAAGAATTCAGCAAAGAATTTATTTTATTTCTGAATTGCATAAACTTTAAAACACAGCACATTAATAAAAATCAAATGCATCAATGTTGTGTTAGCGCCCTTCATAGGGTCACTCTGATCACCGAGGCAGCTGTGGTGTACAGATCATGCAGCCTCACTGCTCACTTCTCTGCTGTTTAGGAGTTAAGGGCAAGGTCTCCACTAGGGGTTGAAACTTTACCGGGTTATTTACTAATGTGAGAAATCAAAGTAAAGTCAAAATCGGCAAACTGGAAATGACTTTTTAAATTTATTTTTTTTAGAGAGAAACTTGACCATTCAGCTATTTTAGCCACAAATCTGAAATTGCCTTTGAATTCATACTTCCATGAATAACTCATTTGTTAAATTTGTTACGTTAATCACCATGACCACTTCTGCTTTTCCAATTGGTCGTGGTGGTAAGAGTGCAGCGTTTCGGCTTGAAACAATCCATATTCAGAGACTTTTGCATTTGTGTGACACCTGTGACTCAGAAACTGCCTAATCTCAATTCTGTGCAAAAATGACATCTGTTGTGAGCACGTCTCCCCTCCCACCCTAGTCCCTGCCTCCCTATACCCTTAACGTTACTGTTTATTTTTTATTATGTGCCAAACATACCCTCCTTCCCTCCCTCTAACTGCCTGAAATGGGCCAATCAAGTAATTCTCCATGAGAGTGTTTTAATGGGCCATGAGACGGTGTTGGTAACCAGGTGCTGCGTTCCAGGTAAGTTTTGGCTTATTTTGAAGGGTATTTAACCCCTTAAGGACCAAACTTCTGGAATAAAAGGGAATCATGACAGGTCACACATGTCATGTGTCCTTAAGGGGTTAAAGAAAAGCCAGGGCTGGAAATATAAAATAAGGTCCAATGGAGCCCTCTAAATTAAAAACATGAAGGGGGGAAAGGTTTACAGTAACCATTTAAATCTGCAAAATCACCCCAATCGTCCATAGTATATATCGCTTATAATAGAAAGTAAGTGAAGGAAACCTGCAGGATTTAAAGTGTAAGCCGTATTCTTCACCGTCTTGCAATGGGCTCCCAGCCAGGCACAGGTGTGTCCCTCCATTCAATACGTCTCCATTCATCCATATGGAAGTACTCCATTCATTTAAGTGTGCTTCTCGTTATGTAGTAACACAAAAAGAAAAAGTGAAGCCTGCTTCATAAACTTGTTAAACAGGACTTTACATCCATCCTAATCTTTGAGAAGAAGGTAAAGATCCTTCATGCTTCATGAGGTGGTGAGTGTTCTCCCCTTCCTCATTCTATTAAAAGGACCTTTTTATCTGCGTTTCCCAAACGGTGTGTGACCAAGGTGTGGCTCTGTGTTCCTGTTTGTTGTATCTTCCACTGGTGGCTGCGTTCTCTTAGCAGGAGGTATATATCCCAATTTGTACCGGTTTAGGAGATATTTCCTTCTCACACACCTCTTACTGTTTTTCTAGGAGCTGGGACCGTTTGTATGGAAGTGTATCACATTATCACAAAAATGTACACACTGACCACAAAATGCAAATTTAGAAACATTCTGGAATAAGGAAAAAAAAAACAGTTGGTGTTGTGTATATAAAAAGTGTCTTTTTTTTTAAATTCTTTTTTTCTGGCACTTTTCCTGAATACAACTATATATTCCCTTATTTTCACCAAAATATTGCTTACTGTACCTCTTCATTTTATTTTTCTGGTTTCCTCCCTTCCCTCCGTGGGGTAAAATTAATATTTTGGCACTTGGATAAAAGCACCAATGTATGAAGAATGGATTAACATGCACAATGAAGCTTCTCGATTATCATGGGTCTCGATTTAATAAGCTTTTCACTGTTAGAAATTGTTTTCAAATTTATTTAGTTATAAAACTTTAAAGACATTTCATTGAAGTGGTCTGGGTGCAATGCTTTCCTGTGGGGAAGGCCTGATTCACGCACCGTAAATGAGCATTTGTGTCCCCCCCATCAAACGACTATAGAGGAGGCCGACTGCAGACCAGTGAAGAGGGATCTCTGTGCTGAGATTGAGCAAGTAAATGATCTACAATGCTGGGGGATGAGGGGGAGCCCTGTGGAGGCTGAGGAATAGGTGTGTAGGTAACTTTTAACTGTATGTATTGGGACTGATGTATGTTGTGATCATTGCTGCCGTCCAAAAGTGGTGGGAGTTTGAGCAAAGGACCTATTTTTGTATGTTTGTATTTACCTTTTGTATCACACTGCTATGTTACAATGCTGCCACCTAACCCATGTGTTCCCTATTAAGGGTTAATAAGCATGTAGGGGTTTATAAAAAATACTCCTCTCTGTCTCATTAGAGATATTTTTGCCAGAAGCTCAAGGAAGCAAGGTGAATGGTTAGTGTAGGACCCACCTGAGAGGTTTGCCTTGATGTGGCAGGTGGGCTTCCATCTAATGGCCATTGGAGTGAAACTAAATGCCCTCCGTTTATTTAAATATGCATAGCAATCTGGGAAAGAGCGCAGGTAACCTTTTGCCCTATTTTTTTTATAGTAATGTAAACACTGCCTTTTCTGGTGACTATAGTGTCCCTTTAACATGAAATTTGACCTATACAGGGATTCTGCAGACACTCTGCATCACAGCTCATAAATGCCATCTAAGCTTGACTTAAAAAATTGCTAATTTTAAATAATGAGGAACAAAATCTAATTTTCAATGCATCGCCAGCACCAGGTCCTGTATACAGGATTTAAATGCCGCACACCATCTAATAGATTTAAATCCGCTTTATTTAAAAACAAAATTCCATTTGGGGATTGGACTTAATGTGCAAAGAAGGGAGACGCTAGCGTGTTTCATGTTGTGCAAGGCACTTCCTCAGACACCTCACTTTATACGGCTGCGATAAAACCTTCTGTACACTTTATATACTGGGTGTAAGCTCTGATTAGAAGAACGGTTGATGTGTATAGTCCTCTTGCATGGAGGGATGCAGTTTTAGAGTATTTTGAAAATAAAATGTATGCAGAACACCTACAAATATATAATGGATCCTGATATCCGTTATGCCAATTAATCCAGCGTGTAATCAGGAAGATTTTATTAAAGTATTCAAATAGTCTTTGCATTATGAGTTACATGGGGTCTCCTGGAACACATGCCATTTTTCCATGGGGAAGCATTGGATTGACTGCAATCATTAAGGGACGGGGCAACAGCACGAAGACCATTGCGGCAAGAGCTAAAAGGTCAATAAAACCTTATATGTATTTATTTAGTTATTGTTAGATCACACAGGGGGTGGGCACCCTAATAGTAAGCTATGCAAAATTGCAAGCTCACTAAAGGGCCTCCCTCTGTAATCTGTATGTGTCCCTAAATATCACCTTCCTTGGTTTTTACCAATTCTAGATAAAGTGCAAAAGAGAAACTCCTAACAAACAATTCCACTTCAGAAGGACACACGGTGTAAATATTCACCAGTTTCCTGCCCATCGGATACACTGGGTAAATATTCACCACTTTCCTGCCCATCGGATACACTGGGTAAATATTCACCACTTTCCTGCCCATTGGATACACTGGGTAAATATTCACCAGTTTCCTGCCCATCGGATACACTGGGTAAATATTCACCAGTTTCCTGCCCATTGGATACACAGGGTAAATATTCACCAGTTTCCTGCCCATTGGATACACTGGGTAAATATTCACCAGTTTCCTGCCCACTGGATACACAGGGTAAATATTCACCAGTTTCCTTCCCACTGGATACACAGGGTAAATATTCACCAGTTTCCTGCCCATTGGATACACAGGGTAAATATTCACCGGTTTCCTGCCCACTGGATACACTGGGTAAATATTCACCACTTTCCTGCCCACTGGATACACTGGGTAAATATTCACCAGTTTCCTGCCCATTGGATACACTGGGTAAATATTCACCAGTTTCCTGCCCATTGGATACACAGGGTAAATATTCACCGGTTTCCTGCCCACTGGATACACTGGGTAAATATTCACCAGTTTCCTGCCCATTGGATACACAGGGTAAATATTCACCAGTTTCCTGCCCACTGGATACACTGGGTAAATATTCACCAGTTTCCTGCCCATTGGATACACTGGGTAAATATTCACCAGTTTCCTGCCCATTGGATACACTGGGTAAATATTCACCAGTTTCCTGCCCATCGGATACACTGGGTAAATATTCACCAGTTTCCTGCCCATCGGATACACAGGGTAAATATTCACCAGTTCCCTGCCCACTGGATACACAGGGTAAATATTCACCAGTTTCCTGCCCATTGGATACACAGGGTAAATATTCACCAGTTTCCTGCCCATTGGATACACTGGGTAAATATTCACCAGTTTCCTGCCCATTGGATACACAGGGTAAATATTCACCAGTTTCCTGCCCATTGGATACACTGGGTAAATATTCACCAGTTTCCTGCCCATTGGATACACAGGGTAAATATTCACCAGTTTCCTGCCCATTGGATACACTGGGTAAATATTCACCAGTTTCCTGCCCATTGGATACACTGGGTAAATATTCACCAGTTTCCTGCCCATCGGATACACTGGGTAAATATTCACCAGTTTCCTGCCCATCGGATACACTGGGTAAATATTCACCAGTTTCCTGCCCATCGGATACACAGGGTAAATATTCACCAGTTTCCTGCCCATCGGATACACTGGGTAAATATTCACCAGTTTCCTGCCCATCGGATACACTGGGTAAATATTCACCAGTTTCCTGCCCATTGGATACACTGGGTAAATATTCACCAGTTTCCTGCCCATTGGATACATTTTCTGGTCCAGAGTTGTGCTGTCCAGCATGAGAGCAGTTAGCCCGATCACTCATGTTTTGTTTAATTTCTTTAATAAAAAAAAGTCCATACTTCATGAGAATTCTATAGGTTTTTTTATATCGCTTTTCAATGTATCATTCTTAATTCATTTGAATGTTTACAAAGGTGTTCTAGAACATGTAGTGGTGTCTTCAAGGAACACTTCAAACACCATAACCACAACTGCATTTTTAGAGCAGTTTGGCTTCCCTCCTGGGATCTGCCAGAAGCAGCCATCACCCTCCACTTCAGTCTTCAGAGAGCCAAAAATCTCCTGCTTCTGTTAGCCAATGACTAGCCCAGCACTGCACAGCTTAGCTCAGTAGAGCTGAGTGCGTCAGGTAGTCACTTCGCTGAGAGCTTACGGCTCTCTGAAGGCAGTAATAGTGCTCGGACTGCATTCTAAAATGGTTTGACTACTTTCATTGTGTGACTGCCAATGCACGTTTGGCACCGTAACTACTACAACATACAGTGTTGGTTATGATGCCTGGAGTTTTCGTATCTGTATCTGACATTTGGCAATTTAAAGTCAAGCTGTGCTACTACAGCCCTAGATATTTCTAAAAGCAAAGTTCACAAACAATCTTTTATTTCCTGATCACTCCTTAATTTCACATCGTAAATGTGTAACAGCCTCCCACTTACCACTGTACAGCCTATGACAATTTCTCTCCCCAATTATACCGACTCATAACCTATTTTGGATAAATGATTAACATGAAACAGAAAATATCGTAAACTCTGCTCCTCTAATGTACACTGCAGTCCACTCGTTCTTCTTCTTGTTTATTGATATTATTGATATTTATATAGTGCCAGCTAATTCCGCCCAGCTGGTATATCCTCTTCCTGGCTGGTATTGCTGTTTTTCTGCAATGTTGCAATGTTTTGTGTCCGGTATCGGCACACACCGCGTGCTCCCCAGACACAGTGGACAGAATGCACAGTTTCTCCCCATTACTGTCACATAGACAGCAGTAGCTCGGGGGAAACATGGATATAGATTTATATAGCTATGCAGGACATTGTCTGCCACTGCGAGACTGTAACTCCTATCATGCTTTGTGACATTTTGGTTGAGGTTTGTAGGAGTTATAATAAACATCCAATGTAATAGCACTGTGAGGCAAGCACTTGTCAAACCGCTTCTATGGTATAACTAAAGAAAGACTCATCCAGTGTTTGGTTCAGCCCTAAAAGAGTTTTAATTCACAATAGTCACCATTTCAATGGACACATAAAATTAATATTTAACTAATACAGCCCTAAAGTATGATTTTATTTATATTTTAATCCATAAATCTCAGTCACCCATTTTTATGAGACACTTTGAAATGAAGAGCAGTCGGAAGTGTTTATTTATGAGAACAGTTTGATTGCAATAAAAGGGGGTGTTCTGCATCTAACGAAAGGGGAGATTTAAAGGAAAATAAAGTTATTTTCCTAGCACTATAGTTCCCTATAATGCCCTCCCTTCCCATGGTGCAATTACCGGGTTCAGGGACCAGGGGCACTGCACCCAAACCAATTCAATGAGCTCAAGTGGTCTGGGGGGCCTATAGTGTCCCTTTAAGTGTTTGGGAAAATATTCATGCAAATTTTAATGAACACATGTTTTCAGTGAATTTATGCAATGCAATAAAAAATGCATTTTAAACAGAATTTTTAATAAGGATGAAAATGTGTGGAAAGTAAGGAAGGGGCAGAGCTTGAATACTGAAGTAGAACTGGTAGAAGCTAAAAGACAAATCTAAAAGGAGATTTAAAGGAACACTCCAGACTGGAGGCCAACTAGAGCCAACTATTTCATGTTTTCCAGCCTCAGAATTAAAGCAGCTGTACCTTCTTTTTGAGGATAAACCATTGTCCTGCCATAGCTGAGAAGTAGTAGTTAAGCACTTGGCTGTGGTTCCATTCATCACATAGGATTAAAGGAACACTATAGTCCCCTAAATTACTTTAGCTAAATAAAGCAGTTTTAGTGTATAGATCATTCCCATGCAATTTCACTGCTCAATTCACTGTCGTTTAGGAGTTAAATCACTTTGTTTCTGTTTATGCAGGCCTAGTCACACCTCCCCTGGCTATGATTGACAGAGCCTGCATGAAAAAAAACTGGTTTCACTTTCAATCTGATGTAATTTACCTTAAATAATTGTATCTCAATCTCTAAACTGAACTTTAATCACATACAGGAGGCTCTTGCAGGGTCTAGCAAGCTATTAACATAGCAGGGGATAAGAAAATCTTAATTAAACAGAACTTGCAATAAAGAAAGCCTAAATAGGGCTCTCTTTACAGGAAGTGTTTATGGAAGGCTGTGCAAGTCACACGCAGGGAGGTGTGACTAGGGTTCATACACAAAGGGATTTAACTCCTAAATGGCAGAGGATTGAGCAGTGAGGCTGCAAGGGCATGTTCTATACACCAAAACTGCTTCATTAAGCTAAAGTTGTTCAGGTGACTATAGTGTCCCTTTAATAATACTGCTGTAGTGAGAAGAATGGCATCGAAGAGGTCACTGAGATGCACAAAGGGTGAATGACAATGGATTTTGCATTTGTTGTTTTGTTTTTTTTCTGTTGAATATTTGACCCTTTGACTCAAACATTTAACATTTTTGTCCTATACCTTCATCATTGCTAGCACACACGTTTTGTTCACTGAGCATTGCTGGTCAGACTTATTGTTCAATGGATGCAATTAATCATTGGTATAATTTGCTAAGATATTTAGTACATATTGCTATTCGCAAAGGGTCAGATGACACTCTCAACCAGTCACCAGAAGGAATCCAAAAATGGTTTAACACCTAGGGACTCGAGCCCCCATTATAAATTCATTACAGGAGCAGAGCAGGGCCTGGAGAATTCCCTTACAATAGGGCACAATGTATCGGGATAGGTCTGTGTTGGCACAATACTGTAACAGTGAGAGTGATACCTCAGGTGTAAACATTGTATCGGTCTATATTAGCCCAGCACTCAGGGCCGGATTAAGAGCACAGTGGGCCTGGTGCTGACAATTATGATGGGCCTAATTACAGAATCTTATCGACCAAAAACACTAAGACAATCATACCTCCCAAGCGTCATGTATCTGATGGAGATGGTGCTGGAGGGAAACTCATAGGATGCACTCGCTGGTCCAATTGTCTCCTTACCTTCTTACTAGCAGGCAGAAGTTCCTGGTATATAGTCTGAGACAGAGAAAAGGTGTCTGTAGTGAGTGTAGAAGAAAGGGGACATGCCACAGTGTTAGAGAGACCAACGTCTGCATTACCTAAACTAGCCAGTGCACACAAGTTTTGTTCCCATACATCCCTCTTAAGCTTCCAAACTTAAAGGAACACTATAGTCACCAGAACAACTACAGCTTATTGTATTTGTTCTGGTAAGTAGAATCATTCCATTCAGGCTTTTTGCAGTAAACACTGTCTTTTCAGAGAAAATAACTCCACTGGCCGCTCCTTAGATGGCTGCTAGAGGTGCTTCCTGGGGCAGTACTGCCTAGTGTGCAGCACTGCCATTCAGTGTCTCCACCCTCTGCATGCAGACACTGAACTTTCCTCATAGAGATGCATTGATTCCATTTATCTTTATGAGGAGATGCTGATTGGCCAGGGCTATGTTGGACTTGTGCTGGCTCTGCCCCTGATCTGCCTAGTTGACAGTCTCAGCCAGTCCTATGGGGAAGTATTTATTTGCTCAGACCACCACTTCTGAGCCAGCAGCTGCAGAATTGAATACAAGTAATATTTTACTATATTTAGGGAGGCAAGAAGGGTCCAGGGTGGTGGTTTTAACATAATAAGGTCAGAAATACATGATTGTGTTCCTGACCCTATAGTGCTCCTTTAAGCAAGAGTATGTGAAGAGTAGTTAATGTTTCCACCTTTCTTGGAAAAAAATACCAGCTTTAATCATTTGTATAATTAATTAGTTATGCGTGACATCACATGATGTAAATCACAAGGAGTGACATCAGAGAAAATTCAGTAAAATCACCAACAAACTACTCACAGTTTGATTCTGCTGTATAGATGGATTGCTCCCAGTATCTCAGTCTCACAAGTCACCCAGTGTCTCAGTGTCCCTATGTATCACAGTGTCAGTGTCCCCATGTCACCCAGTCCCCTAGTCTCCCAGTGTCTGTGTCCCCATTTCTCCCAGCGTCCCAATGTCTCAGTGTGTCCCCATGTCACTAGGATACTGGGGACACTGAGAGACCCGGGGACACTGAGACACTAGGGACACAGACACTGGGAGACTAGGGGACACTGGGAGACTAGGGGACACTGGGAGACTAGGGGACACTGGCTTGGAGACAGACACTTGGGGAGACATGGGGACAGTTGTGGACATAGACATGGGGACACTGGGACACATGGGGATACTAGGTACACTGAGAGACATGGGAAACAGACACTGGGAGACTTGGGGACACTGAGACACTAGGGACACTGGCTGGGGGACATAGTGTCTCCGTGTCCCAATGTCCCTATGTCTCACAGCATCCCCATGTGTCCCCTAGTGTATGTGTCATCATGTGTTCCCTAGTGTCTCAGTGTCCCCATGTGTCCCCTAGTGTCTGTGTCCCCATGTGTGCCTGCTGCCTTCCCCCCCATCCCTCACTTACCTGAGCTGTAGAGCTGCTGTCTGGACTCTCTGTGCTGTGTAGCTGCTCCCCCACGGATCAGTGAGTAGTAGAGAGAGTATTCTCTAACTTCCTATCCCTGCCTCTCTCCACACACAGTGACCCCTACTGGCCGGTGCTGGTACTGCAGAGTAATTTCCAATTATTCTGAGAAAATTACCTGCATTTGTATTGCCGGTATTACTGCAATACCGGCACGGCCAGGCAGCCTCAAATACCGTCTGTGCCATTAAAATATCAGTCAGGTGGCAAACCTAAGAGTAGTGTGTAAAAAAAATAAAATATTTTTTTTTGTTTTTTTTTAAATGGGCCTATTCCATGGGCCTGGGCCTGGAGCTGCAGCTCCATCAGCCCCTATGTTAATCCGGCCCTGCCAGCACTGATAATGTTTACTGGTTAGAATGTTAGTGATACCATCAGGTGTAAACGTTGTATCGGTCTATACTAGCCCAGCACTGATAATGTTTACTGGTTAGAATGTTAGTGATCCATCAGGTGTAAACATTGTATCGGTCTATACTAGCCCAGCACTGATAATGTTTACTGGTTAGAATGTTAGTGATACCATTAGGTGTAAACATTGTATCGGTCTATACTAGCCCAGCACTGATAATGTTTACTGGTTAGAATGTTAGTGATCCATCAGGTGTAAACATTGTATTGTTCTATAATGGCCCAGCACTAATAATGTTTACTGGTAAGAATGTTAGTGATACCATTAGGTGTAAACATTGTATCGGTCTATACTAGCCCAGCACTGATAATGTTTACTGGTTATGGACTGCAATCTCAATGTTAACCTAAATGGGGACACTTTGGAGGTGTTTGCAGCCTCAATCTGTCAAACCCATATGCCGCAAGTGTAGGACCATCCACACTGAGATCTTTGTGGAATGTGTGCCTCAACGATCGCACATGCCAATAGCCAATCAATTGCCAGCCCTCCTTCGCTTTTTATTTGTTTTTTAGCTGGCGTGTGCTTTGAGACTTCCTTTTTTTTTTTTTCTTTGATGTCTAGTGAGAGGCTGGTCAAATTCTAATCCATTCCTCCAGAGATTAATATTCAGAAATTTCAAGGTCATACTATGTTTTGCAATGGAAGTTCAGTTTGTGTATTCCTGTCCCAAAACAAAAGGAACAATCGACCAGCAATGCATAAATAATATTTCTTGATACATTTTGTTGCCAAGTTAAAGTTTATGTTAAAGGTTTACATTTCGGAGTATCGAATTCTATATTTTTAAGAAAAGGCCTTCTCCTAAACCTGCAGTTATCTGGTCTTTCAAATAAGGATCGTAATAATCACCTCATGACGAAGTACAAGAGTGTAAATACACGTAAAGGACACGTGTCTCTTTTCAGCCTATGTAACTATGTAGTGATCAATATCATTTATTTATAAAGCACTGACAGATGGAGACGCTACTTCATATAGTGTAAATGGTAACTCTCTGTCAGATGGGCAGCGCACAATTACTGTGCTATAGCTGCCGGCAATTCAAACCGTTTCCCCTTTGTCTCTCTTTCTGTGTGATACCAGTCTCCTCTCTCTTTCAAAAAACAAGTATCCTTAATCTTAAGTGCCCTATCGCCCTCCTAATAGCACTATCATCATCTTTTGTAAACAATGAGTCTCAGTAGTGATTGGAGGTGCGCGTTTAATGGCGTTTTCCCTGATTGTAAACTCTGAAAACACAGTATTTTATTGACATTGCTGGAAAATCTCTCTGAACTCTGTGCAAAGATTCTCGCAGCTGCCAGAGGCCGCAAGAAGGAACTGCAAATTCAACTGAAATGACAACTTGCTTTTTTTATTTTATAATTGAATGGGTTACATTGGATTTTAACAGCTGTGACATCGGAATGCCTTTTGGAAGTTGTACGGTGTTTAGTGAATTTAGCTCTTCTCCCCAGATTCTATCTCCTCTCAGGGGCTAAACAAGGGACTCTGTCATGTAGGCAGACCAGAGTGAATCCCATTTCGCCTAATGATGGATTGTTTGAGTGGACGGGTCAGGAACGTCCTCTAAATGCACAAGGTCCACATGTAATTAATATCTAATTTCTTGCCTAAATCTTTCCTTGAAATGACATAATTCTGCAAGTATGAAGGTGATATTACTCATCATATGAATATTAGGAAATTTGTAGTACAAGACTAATTAATATCTCATTCATTACTTTTATCTAGTCATTGTGATAACATTATAGTACTGGACATAGAATGATATTCACACGTTCCACTCGTCACTGAATGTATGTGAATTTGTAGATGCATGACTGCAACTGCTGACACTCCACCCAGGGCGGAGAGAATGCGGACAGGTAGACTCATTCCTGTTTTAATGAGATGGTGTGCCTTACAAAACAGCAATCAAGTAAAGATGTGCCAATAACCCATTTAATGTGCATAGTCACATTCATCCTGGATGGCTGTGAATCTAACCATTGATTTACATGGTCCGTTCTGTGTGTATTTTCAATGATACTGCTTTGCTAAGTCTTAATATGCAAAGTACTCCGGCTCCCCAATGATCCCCCTGAAAGGGATGTAATTGGAGGGGTTGCACGGATAGACCCGATACTGAAAAATCAGAACCAGTACCTGAAAACATGAAGCTAGATGCCCCCACTCCTCAACAATTCTGCAAGATGCATGTAATGTATACAAGCATAATGACTTTCCCTTTAACAATTGTTCAGCAATATAATGAGTACAGAGGAAAGTGGTCTATTTACTCCCGAGCAGCCTTCTCCTACACGTCTATATATAGGTATATGATGTGCAGTCATGGTCTGCGTTGTCTTTCATTATGGCAATTTGTCTAAAAATAAATACGTAGTACTAGGGGTGGTTCTCGGGATAAATTGTATATGTAATGCGTGTGCTTATAGGAAAATGGGGGGGTATTTACTATTCCACCTGGTAGTAACCTGGTCTGAGTTATTTCCAAGAATACAGTAAGGGTTAAAGAAATACAAACCTGTATTACTATGTAGTACTGTTGGAGTGCCCCCTACATTTAATACATAGAATGGGGATACCCGTTTTCTAATGCCCTCTCTCAGTCCTGGCAGCTCCCCCCTCCCGCGTTATCTGGCCTGCTGATCTTTTTGTGTTTCTTGTCCAATCAAACGATTCTCACAGGGAAGATGTTTGATGAAAAGCGCTGCAGAATTAGCTGGCGCTATATAAATACCAATAATAATAATAATGTCCTCGTGGACGTCTGACGTCACATGACCAAGTCAGATAGAGGAGTCAAGACAATTCATGCTTCAAACGTGCTCTAAGAGAAAGAGGCAGGTTCTCTTTAAGTTGCAATGTCTCTGCACAACTCACAGTAGGGATGAGAATCTCTATTGCCAATTCTAAGTTTAAAGACCTGATCTAATCCACAATCCAAATAATCTCAGTAGCTGGGAACCAGAAAGTCAACAATGAAATAATGCAGGTTCCCGAGCAGTCTGTGTTTTATATACCAGTATGTCAAACTGAAAGGGTTCTAAACAAATGCGTCAAATGTCAGGAATTCAAAGTGAATAAAAATTATCTGAAAATCGCTTAACTGAAAAATTCTCCAACTCATTTCCGCTATTTCGACCAAAATTGTGGAAATGTACTTTTTCCTTCACTTTATAAGTAAAATAATCCAGATACATTGTAACTGGACATACAGAGCAAATTAGAGTCCGAAGTATTTCTTTGCTGTAAAACCCATTTCTTTAATTTACTAAATTCTACATGTTCTATCTATATATGTTCTCGTTTGATACGTCAATATGCCGAAAGCATAGAACGGCTTTACCCAAACTGTCTCCTTTTTCTTACCCTCCTCTCTCTCAGGTACAGAAAGTTACTCCTCCCGAAGCCAGTACACCACCTTACCCTCGTCTTATAGTTCTCGCTCTCAGGTGTTTGGCTCTGAACAAAGAATATCTGTAAGTATCTGGGGAAAGAAAGACGTTCTTCATTGTCCTGTAACTTCTTATACTGGCTCTGTCCTTTACCAAAGGAAAAATAACTTCCTTTAACCGCTAGTTGGTTCTAAAATGTTTCTAGGGACACTTCCTATTATCAGTGACAAAAAAACAATAGAAAGATACCCCCCAAGCTTCACCAGAGAGTCCATCTCGGGCAGGAGAATGTCTCCACCATTTAGATTAATTTAGCGTGCAGCACAATGTTTATTGATCAGATTGGATGAGTGGTTCTGCTGAATAAGATAATGGCGGCCGTACCAGACCTGCTTATCACCCCACTAATCACCCCATTCACTGCTTTGCAATGGAGCTGATCCCAAGTCATCAACTGCCCATTCAAGTAGATACCGGCTTCCTCTGAGAGCCAGACAGGGAATCCCTGTGCACATGCAGACTATGTAGGTTTATTAATAACCGGACGGCCAAGAAGGTTGCATGGATTCTTTCTTTGATGCCAGTGGATTGTTTTCTTTTTCTTTGAAATCACGGTAGTCCCAAGGAACTACATGTATGGAGAAAGAGGGTCTCCATGTATATAATAAACACAGGTTGTTAGAATGCATGAAGTTTAGAAACACAGAAGGCCAGTTGATAGTTTCACAGGAAAGATTATTTGAAAATTACTTTCATGTTGACTTGTTTATTTTTGTTGTTGTTGTTCTTCAATTATATTTATCGTTCTCTCTCTCCCAGTCTGCTCGACCATCCGCCTATTCCACCATTGGAGCAGTTAGGTCAGGAGGTTACTCTTCTCGTTCTGCTGTGGATATTGGAGGTACACAAAGAATCAGCGTGGCACCTCAGCAACGTGGTTATTCCACCAGCCGCCCAACCTCTTACCATGAAAGTGTATACCCAAGCCGGAGAGAATGTGATACAATGTCACTGAGGTCCCTCCGCATTGGCAATGGAGATGATCGTTATGGCCAAGCGGCACCATTTAATGCAGCTTCCTATGGGCGCCAGATGTCCACTACCAGTGCTGGGCCAACACTTCAAAGATCTTATTCAGGCAACATTGCCCAAGATGGAGGTGGTACAACTTGGGTTGAGAGGGCAGAGGTGGCACAAACTCGGACAATCCGAGCACCTGCCATGCGTACTCTACAGCGTTTCCAAAGTACTAACCGGGCTCGCATGGCATCTGCTTCCTATGGCACTCTAAATGCAGTGTCTCCACAGCAGATGCAACAGCAGTCCTCTGTCGGGGTAGGTTCTAATTATGTGTCTACCATGCTTGAGCAGAGCTCACGTGCACCATCTGTGAGAAGCCTGGCAGAATCTGTACATCAAATGCAAGATATTCGAGGCGTGGATGTTTTTGATGGTAACAAGAGTCTAATGAGCCAGCACTCCTTTACAAGTGGGTAAGTAAACGTTTGCTGCTTTAAGGGTGTTCCGGTCAAATACCCGCTTTTATAAAAGAAAAGGAGCAAAGGTGGTGGTAGTGAGCTAAGAAAAGGCACAGAAGTAGGCATCTCAAATGACCATGATTACAGTAGACAAAATATATAAACTTCCATTAAAAGTTATTAGGACTAGGTGTGAAATTACCTATAGAACATGTCAGCACTATTCAGTAAATATGATGATAAATGTTGTCCGTGATATAAATTAATTTCTCTATATGATACACTTCCAGGTTTGATGATATGGACATGCCTTCTGCAGTAAAATATTTAATGGCTAACGACCCCAATCTGCAGGTACTGGGCGCAGCTTACATACAGCACCGTTGCTACAATGATGCAGAAGCCAAAACACAGGTGAATACGAACTCTTAAATTGCCTCAATTTAATGGACATTACGGTCTCTCCAGTGAATGTTATAATGGTTTTTAATCTTTACTTCCCAGGCAAGAAGCTTGCAGGCTATTTCCAAACTGGTAAAACTTTTTAACAAACGCAATCCGGATGTGCAACGTCATGCCACAGGCGCCATGCGCAATCTTATTTATGACAGTGCAGAGAACAAAATGGCGCTAGTGGAGGAAAATGGCGTATATGAGTTACTGCAGGCTCTAAAAGAGCATGATGATGATGAACTAAGGAAGAACGTAACAGGTGTGATGTTAATTGTGTTATTAAACCGGTTTCATTTCCTGTGACTTAATTCTATCGATTATTTTTGTTGTCCCTGCTTACATTATTTTCTCTTACTCAGGCATTTTATGGAACTTGTCTTCAAGTGACAATCTAAAAACAAGGTTGGCAAGAGACACTCTTGGCCCACTCACAGATCGTGTCTTGACACCACTGTCTGGCTCAGCGGGCTCAGCACTTATTCAGCAGAATGCATCGGAGGCTGAAATATTTCACAATTCTACTGGATTCCTCAGGTACCAAGATATTGATGGAAAAAATCCAGAACTTGGTGGGAAAATATGGACAATGACAGATTGTCGTGAGAGGATTTAGCTTTTCAGACAAAACACAAATGATATAGGTTTTGTGTTTTATTTTATTTTTTTATATTCTACCAGGAACCTGAGCTCAGCCAGTGAGGAGACCCGTCAAAAAATGCGAGAGTGTCCTGGTCTTCTGGATGCCCTGGTTGGCTACACCAACAATGCCTTGCAAGCTGGCAAAAATAGGGACAAGGTGAGCACTACATGTGCATGTATTGAGGGCAAAAGGAAATCATTAGCATAAAAGTAGAGGCAAGTGCTGTAAGTCGGCTCAGCGCAATGCTTTTTTGTGGTTAGATGGAAATAAAAATGGCAGCTGTAATAACTAACCTATTGTCTCTTTTCTTGTAGAGCGTGGAGAACGCGGTGTGTGTATTGAGGAACCTCTCTTACCGTATTTATGATGAAATGCCTCCCTCCTGCCTGCAGAGGATAGAAGGAATCCAACGAGGACGCACCAATGCTGGAGATACAATTGGCTGCTTCACCCCACAGAGCCGGAAACTCAAAGAGGTAAAAAGTAAACCCGTCCCACCGCTGGCAATGACCATGTCTTCAGCAAAATGCAAACCACATCTGCAGGAAAACAATGAGTGCTCTCCCTTACAGTTTAAGAAGAAACAAGAGACTTTTATTCTGTTTAATAATCACTATCTGCTGTCACTCTTGGAGCTGATCTGGAAAATATACGGAAGAATAACACTGAATTGGTTACTGGGGAAAAAATGTCCTGTTTTTATTTATTTCGCCATTACTTCACACATTTTTGGCAATGGACTCTAACATTATTGTTCAAGAGGCTTATTTGTTTTTTAACGATTACCACAATTTCGATTTTACTCCCAGATTACAGAATGCTAGTTTGCTAGTTAAAGCTATATTTAGTTTTGTTATATAATAAGTAAGAAAGCAACTTTTTTTTTTTTAACCTCCTGACAGCAGCAGCAAGGCACTGACCTTGCCACCTTTGCAGAGATTTCTCGGGACCCTAAAGGCATGGAGTTGCTGTGGCACCCAAAAATTATTGGTCTATATAACCGGGTTCTGCAGCAGTGTGAGCTGAACAGGCACACCACCGAAGCAGCGGCGGGCGCTCTGCAGAACATCACTGCCGGAGATCGAAGGGTAAGAAATAAAACACACACCTCCCAGGAACACCGAACTCCATGTTCTCATTTTGGTGACTCCATGGTAACAAACCCAAAAATGTGAAGCGTTACTTGGATTATTGGGATTGCAGTAAGAGTTAGTTAGAATACCTGGTGTTTCAGAACTGAAGTAGGAATAGCTGGTGCATCAGCAATTGTATTAATGCAGTGCTCACTGGCACTCACAATTTCTTTTTAATTTTTGTTTAATTTCCACTAAATGTAAAATCTGAGAGTATGGGAGGATTCTTTCCAATAATAAAATAGAACCGTGCCTACAAGCGCTTCACATATAAAATATCAATACGTTTGCATTGCACGCATGTCTCGTTTGATGGCATTATCATAGTGAATGTATCACATGGAATTAAATAATTACCGGCAAATTGCTGACACTTCTAACGTATATTTGTGTTCTCACAGTGGGCAGCGGTTTTGAGTCAAGTGGCACTTGAACAGGAACGTATTTTAAACCCTGTCCTGGATCGCTTACGGACTGCGGATAACACTGAGCTACGTTCTCTCACTGGACTCATACGCAACCTTTCAAGACACGCCAAAAATAAGGATGAGATGTGTACGTGTTTAGCTCGCCCTCCCTTCAGCTGTTTCTGCAGTTTCTTTACATTCTTTCCCAGCTTTCTAAATCTTTAGCTGTCTCTTCCCTTCTATTAATCAAGCATGCCTAACACCTAGACTAGTGATTACATGTGGGTTTATTATGTTTACTCATACTATAGGCCCTTCTTCAATATTTTTTTTTAATTTTTTTATTTTTTTTATTTATTTTTTTAGCCACCAAGCTAGTGAGCCACCTCTTGGAGAAGCTCCCAGGTGAGGGTGGTGATAAGAGCCCTCCTCCAGAAGTTATAATTAATATAATTGCTGTTCTGAACAACCTAACTGTAGCTGGGCCGCTGGCAGCAAGGGATATCGTGTACTTCAATGGGCTGAACAAACTAATGTACATCAAGAAAAGGCGAGACAGGTAAAGACAGGGCTGCACACTGTATTGTTGGTATTTACCTCTTACGGCTGCAAAGAAATGGTTTAATGTCACAAATACCCAGAACTTTGTTATATATTGGATGACTCATAGTAGTTGTAGTACATAATGCTGGCTAGACCCATCGCCATTTTGCTAAAACAGGACAAAAATTAAAGCCCTTCTTTCTTTATAAGAACTTCCTGGTTTCATCATCCTTAGAGAAATAATAAAGGGTGATTTGGATACATTTTGATAGTAGAAAACGTTTATAAATATTGACACTATGGTCACCAGAACACCCACAGCTTATTGCATTTGTTCTGGTGAGTATAACCATTTCCTTCAGGCTTTTTGCAGTAAACGCTGTGTTTTCAGAAAATAGTTGTGGCGAAATTAACATCACCACTTGTACTTGGAGAGGCCTACTTGCCAGCCTCTTGCCCCAGGATTATGGGCTCTGCAAAAAGACATGTGACTTCCATGAAAAAAAAACAAAACCACTGAACCGATCTGGGTGATTTTTGGATATGTTGATCACCCAGATCAGGGCTATCAGAGGATGTGACTATTGTGGGGTTTCCATGGATCTTGGGGGTACTTTTGGGGTGTTTGTAAATTGTGTATTTTTCTGTACCTGAATATAATCAATTATCTCTCAGACACAGAGGAGGAGTATGTTGAATGTATTGCTTATCTGTGCCTCTCCCCCTCCCCCTTTTTCCTGTCCTATTGTTTCCTCAACAGGGCATTGTCCCAGGGACACTGCGAGATCAGTTTAAACTGGCTGTTCTGTCCCTTCTCAATCTCCCATCAGCGCTTGCTATTGTCTGACCCCACCCTTCCTTGTACTATAGTAATCTATGTAACCTATTGTATGTAAATTAGGCTGTTGGGGGTTTAAATGTTTGTATAAATTGTAAGTGTTGGCTTGCATTAAACAGAACTACTTGACCCTTTCTTGAAGCCTTGGCTCATGCTTGGGGGATGGGATAACTACACTCTTGGGGATTGCTATATCACAATACTCCTCTGAGTATAAGCTCCTGTAAGAGCTTGTTCCTGGATTTAGGAGAGGTTCACCCACTGGAAGCTGGATCCAGGGTGGGTGAAAGACGGCGAGACCCCGGCGCAGCTGCATAGCTGGAAGTGGGGTCTGCAGTGCGGATGTTGTCGGTTGGAGTGCTTGGAGTCCTCGGCAAGCACTAGGAGCATCGATTGGCGGAGGTACTCGGTTGGAGTGTCAGCGGTCCATCACATTTGGTGGCAAGCGGTGGGATGGCATCCTAGTGCGAGGACCAGCAGCTCGGAGACACCGGTAACGTGTGGAGTTACGGATTTATAATTGAGGGCAACGCTAGCACTTGTGCAGTGCCCCTGTCTATAGAGGAACTCGAGAAAACGGAGCGACCTAGCGACCGTGCAGCACCCTCATGTGAAGAGGAGTTTCTCTGGAGATTGCAGCAACACTTGGCCCAACAGGATGGGCCTGTATCAGAAGAGGGCATACTGGACTGGAGAGATGCCACTCGAAAGGAGCTGTGGTATGAGGCCTTAGAGGAGGTACAGCGGGGCGGAGAGAGAGCCTTCCCAGTGAAGAACAACGGTTCCAGGTACTCGTGGCCCTGCGGAGACCTTTCCTAGGGGAGCAACCCTTGGATGAATGGGTGATGGAACTCTGGGATTTAATTTGGAAGGAGTTGTGGCTGGATGCAGCTTACCGGGCATTAAAATGGTACGCCACTCAGCCCTGGATGACTAACCACTATCTGCCGGAGGGAGAGGATTATAATGGCCCGGGCTTACTGTGGGAGGCCTTTGAGGAGGGCCATGACTTTGGATGCCCAGCCAGCAGACCCACACGACGTTGGAAATAAGTGTTTTGCTATATTTTTAGTTTCTGTTTAGCTACTTTGGTCTTAAATTTAAAATTCGCACTTTAGTAAACAAGCTTGGGAGAGTTGGCAGTATGTTACTTTGTATATGTTTTTGAATGTGAACGTGATAAGTGCTGTATCAGTTGAGGATTTCTAAGTGGGACTGATATTTCAGAGGTTACAACTGGAGGAAAATGAGAATTAAAGATTTGTAACAGATTAGGAATGAAAATAATTATATTCTTTTTGTTTTATCTTCAGCCCAGAAAATGAGAAGGCCTCTCGTGCGGCCTCCAGCCTCCTCACCAACATGTGGCAATATAGTAAACTGCACCGCGACTTCAAGGCAGTACGTGAAATATTTACACCTTATTCTCCATGTATCTTAACACCACAAACACTATAATCTCCCCTGTCTGTCGTTCCATCTGATTTTACTAGAAAACATGTACATTTATAGTATTGGGCCCCTACGGGATGCATCCATTTTGTGTATTATCCTAATTAGCGGGTCATTCAAGTAACATCAGAACTAGCGCAAACAAAAATATCCAATGCACCAAAAACAAGCGTTTTGCATGAAACTACATTTTACACAAAGAAAGGGTTTCTCAAATGAAATGTTTGTATTTTGGTGTCCTTAATTAAATGTGGAGCACTGGATATTCTTGTTTGTGCTGGTTCTGTTCTTGTGGTCCTAGAACCATCTTCACAGAATGTTTTTGGAACCTTTTTTGAATGTATTTATTGTATTTTTAAAGCGATACTGCAGTATAAGTTTTCTCAGGTTTTGGGCATTGTTATGTAATTAACAGCTCAGTATGAATGCCCTAATTCTATTCTCATTCCTTATAAAGCATTAACGTATCCTGTGGCAATGTACAATAGCTGGATTAACAAACAAAGACAAGTCAGACTTACAGGAAAAGGAGATTGTGAAGGCCCGGCTTCAAAGAGTTTCCAGTTCTCCTGCTAACTACTTAACTTGATTCTTTTTGCTTTACAGAAAGGATACCGAAAAGAGGATTTTCTCAGCTCGTGAAGTGGACTGCATGTGTAGACGATATGACCAGCTGGTTGGAGATAACCAATTATTCTTCAGTGCTCATACATTTTAATTCTGCAACATCTTTCTTTCTTTAAGACCAGTTGGGTTCCTCTGTTCAGACTCCAGTAGGCGCCAATCACATCGACAAGTTTCAGATGAATGTAAATAGATAACTAACTGCATGTGTGTGTCATTGTATTTTGTAAAATGACACATTAAAGTGATCGGGATCTATACAATACTTACACATGCATGTACATTTAAATACTTGGATTTTGATCATTTGGATTGTCATTTGCCAGTTTAAAGGGGGGGGAGGGGAATAATAAATTGTGGCGATGCTTACATTGCACATTCATTCTCTTAGCCTCTCAGAATTGGCAAATACTTTGCTAGACCTACATTTAAATTATTTGGTATATTATACCTGGTAGCCAGATTCGTATAAGAAAGGCGGTTTTTTATTAAAAGGTGTGCTTGGGGGGTGTAGATTTAATTTTGTTGCAATGCATCTCTTGCTGTTCCTTAGCCTCTTAGTTCACTTTCAAATGGTAGCACGAAACAGGATTTTCTGTGGTCTTTGACTGTGCTAAGACTACTCCTTGTTTGTGAGCCAAAAAGTAAAAAAAAAAAATGAAAAATAAAAACAAACAAAAAAATCTCAGGGGACATGTATGTTGCTAAGTTTATTTTCACTTTATTTAGGGCTTTGTCCCTGTTCATGCGATTTATGTAAAAATATAAGGTTGTAGCTTGGTTAATAAAAAGAAAGAAGTTTAATTCTGTTACTTGTGTGTTTCTATGTTGTTCTAGTAACCAGGGAACCAAAAGGGTTAAATAGAAATCTCTCTGTGGGAATGTTCTCGATGTACCAAATCAACCCTTACATTCCTGAGCAGAGGTGGAATCTTCACACAGATTGGAACCTTGCTAGGGCCTGTTCTGTTCAGTGAACCCTAGGGCCACAGGAGGCGTCAAACATGCGTGTGTTCAGATATGAATTGCATTATGTTAAGGATCATTTCTGGATTGGACAAGAATTGCAGTAAGGGAAACTGGAAAGTTAAGATTTAAATTAAACCTCTGCCCCAACCTTTCTTCTTTGAAATCACAACAGTTTTGTTAAAGGAATCCTGTCCTGCAGTAAGAATAGTCTAATTTGTAGCACTCTGTACAGACACAAGCCAAGTAAGGTAAAATAGGGTGAAAGTATGTCTTGTTTAATCATTCTAATCTAACATTTGGAATTCACTTTGTATTCTTGACAATTCCCGCTTTAGTGAATAACCATTAAAGGACCACTATAGTGCCAGGAAAACAAACTCGTTTTCCTGGCACTATAGTGTTAACAGGTCCCCCTCCCCCTCCCGCCGGGCTCTAGGGGGAGGAAGGGGTTAAAATATTGCCTTTCTCCAGTGCAGGGCTCCCTCGGTGCTGGGGATTCTCCTCCTCCTTCCGACGTCATCGGCTGAATGTGCATGCGCGGCAAGAGTCGTGCGCTCAGTCAGTCCACAGGAAAGCATTCTCAATGCTTCCCTATGGACGCTGGCATCTTCTCACTGTGAAAATCAGTGCGAAGCGCCTCTAGCGGCTGTCAATGAGACAGCCACTAGAGGCTGGATTAACCCATAGGTAAACATAGCAGTTTCTCTGAAACTGCTATGTTTATAGAACAAAGGGGTAACCCTAGAGGGACCTGGCACCCAGACAACTTCATTAAGCTGAAGTGGTCTGGGTTCCTATAATGGTCCTTTAAATTGTTACAAATGTTAAGAGGGTAACAAGGGCCTTGCTCATACAAGCTTGCAGACTACAGGAGTTGGTGTGTAAAAACTGCATGGTGAATGAGAAGAAATCTCTAACCTAATAACGATATAGTTACATAGTGATCTGGGCTGGAAAACCAAACCAAGTCCATCGACTTCAACCTTTGTCAAAATAAGTAATTAAGGGAACATACGCATTACCTTGTCCTGACTAAAATTCCATAAGACTGCCGCCATAAAGAAGAAAAATAATAATAAAGTAAGCACAATTTCTCTTGGTGCCTGTCTGTGAACATACATCAACCACCAACTCCATGCCAGGCTTTGACCAATACCTTGTCCTGGGAAAACCATAAACTAAGCATCAGTTATACAAATAAGATACATAGTCTGCATGTGAAACATTATTACTGCGATCACAGAATAATGTTAGTAAGTCTCTCCTTGATTGCATAAGGCTTAGGGCAAAAGGGAGGAACAACAATATCCTGAGTGACAGAGCCAAAAGGCAAACGCTACCTTGGGGGAGAAATAGATGCTCATAACTGTTGGTCTGATAAAAATACAGGAAAGAGTCAAAACTACAACGTGAAACACACTGTCATAGAAATAACCTGGGGGCGGGAGGAGGGGGGAATGATTATTCGTTAAAATAAAATACCGAGGATAACAAGAAGCTTAAGAACCAAGTAGAATGTTTGGATGCTAAAATTAAGGATTTTGATGATTGAATGAGAAGAAAAAAACCTCAGTTTCAGTAACTTAGATGAAACAAATAAGCAGGAAGATTTAAAAAGCATATTAAAGGATTACTTTGCTGTTTTGGGTTTAAAGGACCACTATAGTGCCAGGAAAACATACCCGCCCGGCTCTGGAAGGGGGAAAAGCGTTAAAACTTACCTTTTTCCAGCGCTGGGTGGAGAGCTCTCCTCCTTCTCTCCTCCTCCATTCCTCCTCCTGGGCTGAATGCGCACGCGCGGCAAGAGCTGCGCGCGCATTCAGCCCGTCGCATAGGAAAGCATTTACAATGCTTTCCTATGGACGCTGGCATGCTCTCACTGTGAAAATCACAGTGAGAAGCACGCAAGCGACTCTAGTGGCTGTCAATGAGACAGCCACTAGAGGATTAGGGGGAAGACTTAACCCATTCATAAACATAGCAGTTTCTCTGACCCATTTTTTTGAAACTGCTATGTTTATAAAAAAATGGGTTAACCCTAGAAGGACCTGGCACCCAGACCACTTCATTAAGCTGAAGTGGTCTGGGTGCCTAGAGTGGTCCTTTAACAATTAATGACCATGAAGAGTCAATAGAAAGAGGTCACAGCATATTGGAAAGCTCTCCCTAGAGATGTGATTGCCTGTTTTTATTCTTCCGACTTTAAAGAAAAAGTGTTGAAAGTATCTAGAGAAAAGGCAAATAATAATAATAATAATAATAATAGCCTTTTCCAAAAAGTAATAGTATTGCCTGATTTATCATACAATACCAGTATGAAAAGGAGAACATTTAATCCAGCTAGATTGACTTTAAGAAAACATGAAATAAGATATAGATGGTCTCTTCCGATGAAACTAACTCTCACCTATGAAAGTCGCTCTGAAATTTCTGACTCGTGAAAAATTAGTACAATGATTAACCTCTAAAAATGTAGCTTAAAATGTTAATAAGAAATAAGTAATATATGATTTTTATTTATTTATTTTTGCACAATTGATAACAACCTGTAAAGAGTAATAGAAGAATGGGGAAATAAATGTTAAAACAGTTGGATATTTATACAAACAATAGAAATTAGATAGAAAATGGTATGATCACACAATATAATTTGTATTATATTCTAGTATTTAATATAAGGGATAGACGCACAGATGAGACACTTTCTGATTTTATTATGAATCGGGAAAACATGTTAAACACAAAAGATTGATAGTTAAAATGATACCACAGTTTGTATAAATATTGAAGGATTTATGTAAAGAAGAAAAGAAAAAGTAGAGGAGAAAAGGAAATTAAGAGTTAAGAAATTTTTATTTTTATTTATTTTTTGCACAAAGATAAGATAAGGCTTAATAGTAAAATTAATACCACTGAAGGGGAATTATGTAAAAATAGAGAGTTAGGAGAAAACAATTTAGAAAAAAAAGTTTCACTAGATATGATTGTTTATTGCTCGTAGATAAATCTGTATTATTTACAAATTTCACAAATGGGTACTAAATAACACATAATGGTACACAACGCTAAGATAAGGTTTAACCGTTAAATCAATATCACAGAATGGGAATGATACAAAATTAAAGAGTTAGTAGAACATGTCTTACCAGGCACGATTGCTTATTACTTGTTGATAAATATTGTACAGTTAAAATTTCTTACAAATGAGTCCTAAATAACACATTATGAATAGCTGAAGTTGATAATATAAGCCCTTAACATTAATTTATTTATTTTTGTTAAAATACCCGCCACTCCAAAAAAAAAAAAAAAGTGTCTCCCCACCTTCTGTAGTAACACTATAGGGATCTTAGCCACTCATTAAATGAGTCACAAATGTAAAAAAGGAACTTGTTTTCATAATGTTTTTGATTGGTATTGGACTGTAGACCATATCCGGGTTACCCAGTCAGGTATGAATGTGTCAAAAAAAATTTAACATAAGGGCAGATAGAATTTGGATTAAAGATGTATTGAAATGGTCAGGTTAATGTCGATAAATGTTCAGGGATTAAACACCGCATTAAAGAGGAACAGATTATATAATTCTTTAATACAGGAAAACATACAAATAGGTTTTCTTCAAGAAACACACTGGTTAAAAAATACCCCGTAAAAATGATTCCCTGAGATTAGACATGCTTCTTTAGACACTAAGAAAATAGGAGTCGCAATAATATTCACACATGAGATTGAAGTCAATATCAAATTTCAGAAGGCCGACAAAGAGGCAAGATATTTGATTTTAGTATGTGAGATAGAAAAGAAAAATGTATACTTTAGTGAATATATATCTACCAAATGTGAACCCTATGATAACGTTCTCTAAGATGATGGGCAGAGTACAGAATATAATGAAGGGTACCTGGATAATAGCAGGGGATTTCAATTGCATAAGAGACCCCCATATGGATAGGATTGCGCAGGGAAGAATAAATATAGACAATAGAACGACAAAACAATCGAAGAAATTAATAGATTTGTGTAAAAGATATGACCTATACAACACACATGTCAAGTGCGCATGGCACGTATTCAAGAATTGTGTCTTGTAAATGCTAATACGATCCCTGCTATCGATTAAAATAATTATAAAAGAGAACACGTGGTCTGACCATAGTTTCATATTGTTAGATATAGGAAAACTTAAAAAATACCCAATAAATACTTGGAGATTAAATGATATATTAATGAAAACAGATTTAAATAAAAAAGAAATTTCTAAACTTTTAAAATTGTTTTTTGAAGAAAACAATCCAACTGAAACCTCTCATATTACAAATTGGTGTGCCCATAAGGCAGTTAGAGGTTATTTGATAAAAATGAATCATATACAAAAGCAAAAAACTGAGAAAAATATATCGGATTTATACATAGCCTATTATAATCTCTCAAATTTAAATAAATCTCAGCCTTCAATAGAAAAGAATTTAAAACTAAAAGAGTTACAAAACAAAATCAACTTATTAACAGAAGAAAAAATCTTAATAAATATAAATAAGTTGAAACTAAATAATTATTAGACGGGTAATTGAGCAAGTAAAATTTTAACTAGGAAATTACAAAATCAAAGATCAAGAAACAGGATAGAAAAACTGGAAGATGATCAAATGATCTATACTAATCCCGAACAAATAGGCAAAAAATTAAATACATTTTACCAACAATTATATAATTTGAAATCCACTCCAAAAGATATAGAAATCCACAACTATGTAACGAATACTAAGATTACTAAAATATCAGAAGAAGATTTGGATGTTGAATCAAAAAATTTCTCCGGAAGAGGTTGAAAAGCAAATTAACAAATTAGATACTAATAAAACTCCAGGGCCAGATGGGTTCACAAACTTATATTATAAACTTATGAAAGATATACTAATTAAACCCCTTACAGACTTCTTAAATGAGTTTACAATGAATACAAATAAATACTTCAATCAAATATACTGCCCATTTTAAAACCAAATAAGGATAGCAGATATGTGGAGAATTATAGACCATTTACATTAATGCAGACATAAAATTATATGCCTGTATTATAGCGGATAGACTTAAAAACATAATTCCAAAGGTAATACATTTAGATCAAACCGGTTTTGTTCCTGGCAGATCCACATCCAACAGTGCGAGAAGAATTTTAGATATGTTAGACCAATCCAGAAAAAGATCAAAACCCCTGCTGATCCTGTCATTAGACGCAGAAAAGGCATTTGACAGGGTCAGGTGGGGTTTCCTAGAGACTCTTTTGAAGGAATACGGGCTTACGGGCAGGATTTTTAATGCTATTATGGCACTATATTCTGCCCCATCAGAGAGAACAGTAGGAGCAAATATATGTGCAAATTGGTTCGATTTAAAAAATGGTACAAGACAGGGGTGTCCTTTGTCACCCCTGCCACATATTTTATCACTCAAACCATTTGCAATCAACGTTAGAAACAATAGGAATATTAAGGGGTTTTTACACTGCCGCAAGAGAAATAAAGATTTCTCTCTATGCGGACGATACTATTATTTCATTGACATCCCCGGAATGGTCTCTCCCAGAATTAATGAAAGATATCAATAAATATGGATCAGTTTCAAATTATAAATTAAACATCTCAAAATCTACAGCAATGTATATAAATATGGAGACATTTTTGGTAGACAAATTAAACAAAGAATATAGTTTTATATGGACTAAAAAAGAAATAAATAATTTGAGGGTAATAATTCCAACTAAGGTGGAAGAAAACATGGAAATAAATGTTTTGAAACTATTACAATTTACAAATAAAATACTGAAATCATGGAGAAAGGTAATTACTTCTTGGTAAACGCATATATTATCCCTAAGTGGTCCTATTTATTTTCAATGCTCCCTTTTAAAATTTCTAAATACTGGCTTGATATGATTCAAGCAAGTTTTTCATCATTTATATGGAACAATAAAAAACCTAGGATTAGATTAAAAGTATTATCTAAGAAATTAAAAAAGGGGGCTTAAATTTTCCCAATATAAAATTTATTTACTATGCGAATACAGTAAAACATATATTATTGAGGCAGAAGTTACTGAGACAAAAAATCTAGAGCATTATCTATGGCTTAATAGTGATAAGGAAAGTATTGATTATCTTACGAATAAAACATTAATATTATCGCAATCATTACAAATATGGGAAGAGATTTAAAAAGAGCTGAAAACTACACAATACATACCGAAAATCTGTAAATTCAGTGTAATGGAACAAAATATGAAAGATCTGACATTAAGACATTGGCCAAATAAAGATTCTATAACTATATCACAAATAATGAATGAAGATAAGATACTTACATTTCAGGAACTGGTTATAAAATTACAGAAGAGAGAAATTTTCACTTATTTGAGAATAAAAAACTTTGTTGAAAAGAATGTCTTAAAGTCCTCCTTTCAATCCTCCCACTATATGGAAAGTATATTTAATAACAAATACATAAATAAGGTCACCTCTAAAGCAAACCTCCTTTTAGATTTACTTAATGAAAGCCCATTGAAAACAATAAAATCTTGGGAACGAGACCTAGAAACAACGATATCCTTGGGGGATTGGTGCTTCTCTTTAAAACAATTATATAAAAACATCCACTGTTTGAATTTGGTAGAATGCAATTTAAAATCATAAATAAATGGTATTTAACTCCAGATATACCAGTGTAATCCTATATGTTGGAGATGCGGCAGCGATACAGGTTTCTATATCCCCATATGGTGGGCTTGCCCTTGTGTTAATTCAGTTTGGTCTTGGGTTTTTGACCTTTATTATGTAATGACAGGAATAAAGTTAATATTTTCTCCCACAATTGCTTTACTCCATGTAAATTGGAATTTAAAATCAAATAATGAGATATGCTTTGCGATTCATTGTTTTACAGCTATGAAAATTACAATAGCTAGAAACTGGAGATCTTCCTTACCTCTCCAGAAACACCAGATTCATTCACAAATCAAATTACAAATTAAAATGGAAAAATCTTTAGCTGAAAATCGTATTTTTCAAAGTAAAAAAGTAGAGGTATACGAAAATTGGTTAAAGAAACTGTCAACAGATTAGATGTTACCCTGAACAAATAAGAATAAATCACAATTTCACAAACCTGAATAAATGACTTTAAATCTGCCCCGATATGCTTTTTATATGAATGTAGTATGTATGATATGTCTTATATGCCGTTGATGTGTTGGTGTAATTTAATGTATTGGTTAAAAAAAAATGAAATGTCATTTTTTAAAATTTGTTGAATAATATGTATGTAGCGGAGAGGTAGTATAATCCACAGTATCTCCGCTGGGTAACAGGAACAGCATATAATAATCCAAGGAAATAAATACAACATACAATAATCCCGGTAGCGTTATAAGAATCCTTCCTTCCCAAGAACTAGACGACACATAGGCTGGGAGTCAACTGAGGTTTTAATCACAGGTCACAGTATTTATGGGATTCCCCATGCAAGGGTTTTCCCTACTGACATTCCAGGGGTGGTACAGTAGGGGACTACATGGGGAACTGACCAACACACACATTTCTCCCATCATGCACTGCTGTACGAGAGGGATACTCCCACTAGAATATACCGTTAAGTGGATTATCCCTCCGTGCAGCAGAACTGACATTTCACATTAAAATACATAACTTCCATTATATTCACTTGATTTAAACGAATGGACATTCGGTAGATAGCTGGAGGCTGAGCGCACAGTTCATGAGAATACCGCTCAGATCCCAGTCTAACTAACCGAACACCGCACAAAATACACATTATTTCCAAAACACTGTTAAAGTACCGATTGGTATTAGGGGAACAAACTACCGAACGCCCGGGGCTCCCGAACAGCCTGGAAGTCCAGCAGTGTTCGCGCCGTCGAGTAGCCGATTTTAGTTCCAGGCGCTCGACGACAAAACACAGCTGGGCTAACAAAGGAACCAAGATGGCCGACCGCCGCGTGGTTGGTAGCCGAAAGACGCCCATCTGGGAAAGCCTTTAACTACCGATTGCAACAATGTTGCAATCGGTTAATGGACGCCACACGACCTCCTGTGTGTGGTCGTCCATTCGGTAGTTTATTCGTTTCACGAACAGTGTTGAAACTCACGCAGAATGCTGGGGT